GGACAACATGGACAGGCTGCTGACTGGCTACAGCTGCTAAAGGAGAACCCTACACTGGACACTTGTGGTATTTTAAACATCTGGTACTATTATATAAATTGTTATGACTGTATTGATTTAAACAAACAATAACGTGGTGGGTCCACCAGACCACTGAGTAACAAACACACCAACACCACACAAGGGTTAGGCCCTATTCTTCCACTGAATATACTTCCAAGAACCCTTGAAGAACCATCTTTGTTCAGTGTGTACAGGAACAGTCACTGTCACTCTCCGTTTCTGTGGCCTTCAGTGCCTTTGGAACAGTGACTCATATTACACTGAGTCGAGTCACAGCAGGTAATGAAGTAAAACAACGACCAGTGAAGATTTAATAGCCACTTCACTGAGTTCCATGATTACTAAACTTCAACAAAATAACCTGCATAAAGACGTTTAGATGAATGATGTATTGCAGTAGAGAACATGTGCCTGTTGAGTAAAGCCTGTTTTCTGACCTTGGGCAGCTCTCTACAAGAAAAGAATGCTAAGATGAACATAAGAGTATGATATGTGTACATCCATCCATCCATCATCTAAACCGCTTATCCTTCTGGGTCACAGTGGGGTGCTGGAGCCTATCCCAGCTGTCATTGGGCAGAAGGCAGGATACACCCTGGACTGGTCGCCAGTCCATCGCAGGGCAGACAGACAGACATACACAGTCACACACTCACACCTAGGGGCAATTTAGCATGTCCAATTGGCCTGACTGCATGTCTTTGGATTGTGGGAGGAAACCGGAGTACCCGGAGGAAACCCACGCAGACACGGGGAGAACAGGCAAACTCCACACAGAAATGACCCTGGCCGCCCGGCTGGGAATTGAACCCAGGCCATTCTTGCTGTGAGGCAACAGCGCTACCCACTGCGCCACAGTGCCACCCGATATGTGTGCATTTACATAATATAAAACAAAGAATATTCAGTTCACAGTTTGCACTGAATGGACTACAGTCTGTGTGTGGCAGCTGCTCGGTGTAGAGATTTGCATGGTGATCATGTTTGTCGTGGAGTTTTTCTGCCCTCTGCTGTCCTCTTCCAGTCCGGCAAACCACAATCACTGAGCTTTACAGGGGAATTCATTCCACCAATATTTCAAATTTCCTGCATAATTCAGTGTGTGAGATGTAAACAGTCATTCAGAGTGGTTTGGTGTGAAATGGTTCAGATGTCTTTACAGTGGTGGTGATAGGAACCAGGGGTCGCCATGACTACAACACAAATATAGACATTTTATTTACTATCCAGAACCACCAGTGAACCTACACGAGTCTTCTGAGTTTATATGGAATGTTGATGATGGAAAATAGTGGAAAAAATGAATGGAAATGAGTGGAAAATGAAAATATAAGTATTCTTTGGGGACTATTTTGCCTGAAAACTCCCTGCATGTTGAAGGATTTTAAACTACATCAAAACCTTCTTAAAACTACCATAACACAATGTTTCCTCACTTTTTTAAGATAAAAAGGTTTGATGAGTATAAAGCTTCAAAATGTTCCATTCACTACCCATATAGTCCATACAGTCCATACAATCCATATAGTCCATACAATCCATACAGTCCATACAATCCATACAGTCCATACATGGAAGCTAAGCTGCAAAAACAGCCTATTTTGAATTCACTGTTTTTTGTGAGGTCACAAAAACACCACCTATTCAACCTACAGCAATTTAGCTCCACCCACTCATGCTGAAGCTATAAGGAGTGTTTCAGGCTTCAACTTGACAAAATAGCCAAGCAAATTACAAGAGATTGAACAATTTTAAATGAAAATTATCAACTAAAATGAAAATCAGCAACACAAAAAGATTTACAAAAAATATGTATTTAATTTTAATTTAATTACAAATAAAAAAACAGCATAACATATCAATAAAACATATAATAAAAACACATTAAAATGAAACAAAACAAGCAACTTAGATAATAAGTAATAAGAAAAAAAATCTAATTATTTACTAGAATAGAGCAGTAAAAGAATTGACATCAAATAAAACAGCTGCAAAAAAATAAGAATATAAAATAAATAAAAAATAATAATAACAATGAAGAATTCAAGAAAAGGAGAAAAAAAAGTTAAACTCAACTAAAACAGTTACAGTCTGTCTGAAGGTGGTTAGAGACTAAACGTGACACCAGCGAGCTGAGGAAAATGAGGAACAACACAGGGCAGCCAATCAGAACTGAGCTCATTTATGTATATTCGCTTTAAAGACAGAGTAACAAAAGCTGATGTTTAATTAAATAAGTTAATGTTTAATTAACCTCATCGAAGAAAAATCATGAAATAGAAGAAAAACAGATAGGCGGACTAAACTGCAGTGAGAATGGCTAATCACCACTGGAAATTCATTTTAGTCTTATCTTACCCAGATAGCAGAACGTTTTTGGCCGATTCTGTCTGTCCTATGTGAGTGTTGGTTGACTACGGGGTAGATGTTAGGCATGCGGGCCAGACCAGGGCCAGATCCAGGACAGCTTCATACCTTGTTTCTACATTTGTGGGACAATTCTGGTGTGAATATTATGGACCAACAGTGTAGTTGGGCCAAATTTGGGCCATGTCCTTTAGTTCTGCTCACTTTACAGTGTGCGGGCCCATCTGGGCCAAGGACCCAGCCGTATACTGGGCCAGAACAAACCAAGGATGTGGCCCGCAAGTGAGCCAGACAAATTTTGCTAACTGGGTAGGCTTCCTCTGGGTCTGGGAAAGCAGCCCAAAACAATCAATATCCGCACTTTTGCTCTCTTTCTCGATCAGCATATTTATATTTAGTCTTGGGTGATGCTCACTGGGCATTAAACAGATGCACAGTCGCAAAATGAAAAGGCTGAGTCAACAATTTCAGCACAAATATCCTCACAGGAGGCACCAGTACTAGACCCGCGCTGTTAGAACTAAAGGTCTTCGGATCCATGGTTCTAGGAAAAACCTTTGATTGGTATGTATAACCTTTAGGTTATAAATAATATATAACATATAAATAATAGAGAACATTTAGACATTACTTTAAAAAGGTTCTCCACACTCACTCATCTCCACACTGAAAAGAACCATCCACGGAAAGGTTCTTTAGTGAAAAGTGGCTCTTCTATGGCACCACTGTAAAGAACCCTTTCTGACGCCTTAATTTTAAAAGGGTGTGATGGAAATCCATAGGAGGGAAGTTCATCCACACTAGGAATGTTGATCATCTCCATAACTGTGAATGCAGCCTTTCACCAGGTTTGTTTGGGTTTATGGTGGTGAGAAGGTGGCGGACGGTGATGTTGATGGTGAAGAGCTTAACTTTGAGTCCAAATACAGCTTCAAAAGTCTCTCTACATACATCCAGCCTCTTCCCCCACAGGTCAGAAAGGTCAGACAGACCGCCAGCTGAGTCTCAATAGACTCTCTGTTCAGAGCGGAAAGCTCTCTTTACTGAGATTTATGAAGCTTTGCAAAATTAGCTTTTGCAAAGAAACATTTCTTTATGTTTTTTATGACGAATGCTGGGACTCAATGAAAAGGAAAAAAATTCCAATTATAAAGTCTAATTCGTTACCAAATCACAGTAAGGTTTAAAGATAAGTAAATAATAATTTTTCCCAACTTTCTTTTTTATAGTGTTTATACTGTTGTCGTACTTTAAGTATTTTAAAGTTAATTATTGAATTTAGTCCTTGTATATTTTATATAATATATTAATTTGCAATTTTATCTCATTGTTTCAACACGTTTACAGCCATTGAGTCTTTTTTTATACTTGTGCCACAAAACATTTTGTTGTTGTGGTTCACTTCCTTAGCCTTTGCAGGAAAAAACTGCAGATGCAACAGCCAAAATGAATGCAGTATATTTGAGTTTGCGTACGTTTATTAGCAGTACATTATTGTTTTGTATATATTAGTTGTATATCATTGTTTCTCTTTCTAGCTAGTTGTATGTTTGTTTGTTGCTTTGGTCTAGTCGTCTCCTGAGGTTGGGGCTCACTGCCCAATAGACATACAAACGAGTCAAACAGTACAGTTGTCTCACTTTGATTTTGTTTTACAGTTGGACCCTAGACCTGGCTGTAACATGGGTATATAGGCTGTATAGGCTGTGTTGGGTGTATAGGAGGCTGTGTTGGGTGTATAGGAGGCTGTGTTGGATGTATAGGAGGCTGTGTTGACCGTACAGGAGGCTGTGTTGGATGTATAGGAGGCTGTGTTGACCGTACAGGAGGCTGTGTTGGCTGTACAGGAGGATTGTGCTGGCTGTTTAGGAGGCTGTGTTGGGAGTATGAGCTGTGTTGAGTGTATAGGAGGCTGTGTTGAGTGTACAGGAGGCTGTGTTGAGTGTACAGAAGGCTGTGTTGGATGCAGAGAAGGCTGTGTTGGCTGTATAGGAGGCTGTGTTGGGTGTGTAGGAGGCCATGTTGAGTGTACAGAAGGCTGTGTTGGATGCAGAGAAGGCTGTGTTGGCTGTATAGGAGGCTGTGTTGGGTGTGTAGGAGGCGGTGTTGGATGCACAGGAGGCTGTGTCGGCTGTACAGGAGGCTGTGTTGGCTGTATAGAAGGCTGTGTTGGGTATATTGGCTGTGTTGGGTGTATTGGCTGTGTTGGGTGTGCTACCCTTGTGGGCTGTGAAGTCATAATCAGTAGTTTTACATCGATTTTCAGACATTAAAACATCAAAGCAGAGACACTCAGTGTTCACTCAGATGATTTCATGTTGTGCAGCCACAGAAAACCACAGAGCCGCTACGATTTTCTTTCTGTCCTTTTTTGTGGAGCCTGTCAGCAAAAAGTCAGACATAAAAAGCGTGGTGTCAGTCTGAATGTGTGAGCAGGCAGAACACTTTCTGCACTTTCTGAAACTCCCTCCACAGAACCGCTCTCCCTGCACCCCCCCTCCCCCGTCTGTCGCTCACTCTCTCCCCCACCTTCTGACTCTCTCTCTCTCTGTCTCTCATTCACAGTAAAGATGGCAGCTCTCCTGCTGCTGTGTGTGTGGATCTCTGTGCCGTTCTGTCTTTGTGAGAAGGCTAAGGAGAGGAGCGCGCGGCAGAGAGACGCAGAGTTCACAGACAAGGTGAGAGACACACTTTATTTCTGTTCTTTAGTCAGAATGAAAACTCTCAGTCAGACTCATTCAGAGGCGCATTAGACAAAACTCACATCACACACTGCATGACTGACCCTTACTGACTCTCACTGACTCTTACTGACTCTCACTGACTCTCTTCCTGACTATCACTGACTCTTGCTGACTCTCACTGACTCTTACTGACTCTCACTGACTCTTCCTGACTATCAATGACTCTTACTGACTCTCACTGACTCTTACTGACTCTCACTGACACTGACTGACTCTCACTGTCTCTCTTACTGACTATCACTGACTCTTACTGACTATCACTGACTCTTACTGACTCTCACTGACTCTCTTACTGACTATCACTGACTATCACTGACTCTTACTGACTCTCACTGACTCTCAACAAACTCTCACTGACACTGACTGACTCTTACTGTCCTTTACTAAATCTCATTGACTCTTACCACTATTACTGATATATTACTGACATGCTTTCTTTCTTTCTTTCTTTTTTCTTTCTTTCAGTCATTTTTTGTTCCCTGTACTTTACTTTTAATCTTTTTCTTTTTTCTTCTAATCTTTCTTTCTTTCTTTCTTTCTTTCTAATCAAATTCCTTTTTTCTTTCTTTCCTTGTTCCATTTTTTCTTCCCTTTTTTTTCACTGTTTAAAATAGTGTAAAATGTTTCTCCTTTCTTTTCTTTTTATCTTTTGTGTGAATCCTGTAATTTGATCTCAGTAGTCTGAGTGTAAATGTGAACACTGACTCTGAACTCATTCTGATTACACAGTCTGATGTATTTTAGCTGTACCACTGTGAGTGGATGATCTGCTTCACTTCTTACGGTTAAAGTTTTAGTCCAAAATCCAGTCACGCTGCAAAATTCCACATCAGAGTTTTCATTCCTTCCTCCTGTGGAGGAAAGGAGAGCGCTCAGAGAAAGGGACTATTGTCCTTCATCTCCTCCAACCATTCCAGACCAGCAAAACCACACTGTCCTTAATGTCCTGCAGTGCCCAGGAGCACCCCTGCTGGTCAGAGGGAAATATTACATGTGTAGAGAATTACAGCAGCTGCTGGTTATGGTCTGTGGACACACTGTTCTCTACAGGTCCACTCACCGGCCACTTTATCAGAAACACCTACCTTGTACTTCCACTAACTGGCCACTTTATTAGAAACACCTACCTTGGACTTCCACCACACAGTAGCCACTTTATTAGAAACACCTACCTTGTACTTCCACCACACAGTGGCCACTTTATTAGAAACACATACCTTGTACTTCCACTAACTAGCCACTTTATTAGAAACACTTCCTTATATAGGTGTACAGTTACAGACTGTTGTCCATCTGGTACTGCACAGTTTACCAGCCCCCTCTGCCCCATCCATCACTGGTCAATAGAGTGGTTTCTGATAAAGTGGCCAGAATTGTTTAAGGTGGTAAAGGTCTTTTGTTGTCACTGGAGCCTCTAACACTGAAGTGGCAATGTTTGACCTTTGCTTATAGGGTCACTTACCATGCACTCTGAAAAAACTATCCACTGCTTTTGCTTGTTTTTGATTTGTTTGTCCTTCAGTGACCTCAGTCATGTACTTTTGTCTTTTCCAATTTAAATCTTGATCTGACCAGTCAAGAATTTGCTCCCTCAACCTTCATAAAACTGTACAAACAAACCGCAGTGCATAAAGGCTCATGGGATTCTTTATGTGTGCACAATGTGTTTTTTTTTCACGGTGCTGACCATCACCCATTTGGTTTTGATTACACAAACGCCTGTGGATCAGCTGGTGGGTTCACCACGGTGGGCCACAGGAATGTTTTCTAAGGCAGATAAAAGTGTTGAAAGAGAAATAGTGAAAGATAGATGAATAATGAGAGAGAGGAAGTGTTAAAGAAACTGCTGAGTTTAGGTGCCACAGGATTTGACATTGTAATTGCTTTTAATTCATACAAAGAAGTGAGATTTAGAGTCCGTTATTCATTCAGCCTAATGAGAAACTGCAGAACAGACTCGGTTTATATCACAATACCTACATTTAGAGTCAGTTATTCATTCAGCCTAATGAGAAACTGCAGAACAGACTCAGTTTATATCACAATACCTACATTTAGAGTCGGTTATTCATTCAGCCTAATGAGAAACTGCAGAACAGACTCAGTTTATATCACAATACCTACATTTAGAGTCAGTTATTCATTCAGCCTAATGAAAAACTGCAGAACAGACTCAGTTTATATCACAATACCTACATTTAGAGTCGGTTATTCATTCAGCCTAATGAGAAACTGCAGAACAGACTCAGTTTATATCACAATACCTACATTTAGAGTCAGTTGTTCATTCAACCTAATGAGAAACTGCAGAACAGACTCAGTTTATATCACAATACCTACATTTAGAGTCAGTTATTCATTCAACCTAATGAGAAACTGTAGAACAGACTCAGTTTATATCACAATACCTACATTTAGAGTCAGTTATTCATTCAGCCTAATGAGAAACTGCAGAACAGACTCAGTTTATATCACAATACCTACATTTAGAGTCAGTTATTCATTCAGCCTAATAAGAAACTGTAGAACAGACTCGGTTTATATCACAATACCTACATTTAGAGTCAGTTATTCATTCAGCCTAATGAGAAACTGTAGCAAACAACCTTTTATTGGTGAAAATACCTACATTTAGAGTGTTGTTAGGTGTAAATGATATCTAATGTGTATACGTGTGAAAGGTGACAGTGATAGGATGGATGAGATGTAGCTTTTTTGTTATGTAATTAAGCTAAAAGTAATAATAATATTCATTGTTGGCAAATGTATTGTTGTTTTCAGCCTGTCTAGTTTTAATTAGTAACAACACCATCCACATCAGTAATATACACTCTTAAATAGGATGGCTCCTCAAAAGTTCTTTAGTAAAGATAATGTATCTATATAGAACCATACACACTCAAAGAACCATTGCTCTTAAAATCAATGGAGAATGTGTTTGAATATGATTCAATACAGAACCATTTTTAAAAAATGGTTCTGTAAAGCACTTAAAAGGGTTCTGCTATTGTTACAATGTCAAGCTTGTAACAGTAGAACAGTACATTAGGTTGAATGCGAATTTTGTCAGTAAACATTGTCCAGCCTTGCAACAGCAGCTATACTCTTAAAAATCATGGTTCTTCAAGGGTTCTTTAGTAAAGAAAATAGGCCTATGTAGGACCATGAACACTCAAAGAACCCTTTGCATGACTGAAAGGTTCTTTGCATCATCAAATGGTTCTTCAGATTGATGGAGAATGTGATGTATATGGTTGAATATAGCGTCAAAAAGAGTTCTGCTATTGTTACGATGTCAAGCTTGTAATAATAGAAGAACCCTTTTCGGTGCTCTATAGAACACTTTTCAAAAAGTCTCAATATAGGACCATCTACAGCACATTCTCCATCAATCTGAAGAACATTTCACCATGCAAAGAACACTTTTAAGCATGCAAATGGTTCTTTGAGTGTTCATGGTTCTATATAGAACCAATTACTTTACTAAAGAACCGAGAGAAAATACTCTCAACTTTTTTCCCTTATATGTTATTTTCTCATGGTCTTAACCATGTTTATTGTAGAGTTTTAGCAAATGGCCTTTTGCTGCAGAGAAGTGATAAATGTCACACTCTCACCTTGTCATCTCACTCCTTTGTTTGTTTTGACCCCTTCTTCTCACGACCTTAAGGTGATGACAATCACCCCCTTATCTCTACCCCCCTTATCTGTTATCTTCCTCCCTCACAGTTCTCAATGTACATAAGGTTCTACATGGCTCTCTGTATGTGTAAATAAACTCTAGTCAGCGCTGAAGCTCCAGTCTCCTGACTCTTCCAGCCAAATTTCTAACTTGAACCCTTGAAGAACCATCAATTTAAAGCGTGCACCAAAGAACACATTTGTGGGTGAAGCATGAAAAGATCGATTCCTCATTCTCGTAACTATATAACTTACATATTAGTTTCAAAGTTAATACTGAATAATTGATAGAAGATACTGAATAATTCATAGGAGATACTGAATAATTCATAGTAGATACTGAATAAATTGTAGTAGATACTGAATAATTCATAGTAGATACTGAAGAAATCATAGTAGATACTGAATAATTTGTAGAAGATACTGAATAATTCATAGTAGATACTGAATAATTCATAGTAGATACTGAATAATTCATAGTAGATACTGAATAATTTGCAGTAGATACTGAATAATTCATAGTAGATACTGAATAATTCATAATAGATACTGAATAATTTGTAGTAGATACTGAATAATTCATAATAGATACTGAATAATTTGTAGAAGATACTGAATAATTCTTAATAGATACTGAATAATTCGCAGTAGCTACTGAATAATTCATAGTGGATACGGAATAATTCATAGTAGATACTGAATAATTTGTAGTAGATACTGAATGATTCGCAGTGAATACTAAATAATTCTTAATAGAAGCTACTGAATAATTCATAGTAAATACTGAATAATTCATAGTAGATACTGAATAATTCATAGTAGATACTGAATAATTTGTAGTAGATACTGAATAATTCATAGTGGATACTAAATAATTCATAGTAGATACTGAATAATTTGTAGTAGATACTGAATAATTGGTAGTAGATACTGAATAATTTGTAGTAGATACTGAATAATTCATTGCAGATACTGAATAATTCGTAGTAGATACTTAATAATTCATAGTAGATACTGAATAATTGGTAGTAGATACTGAATAATTTGCAGTAGATACTGAATAATTTGTAGTAGATACTGAATAATTCATTGCAGATACTTAATAATTCGTAGTAGATACTAAATAATTCATAGTAGATACTGAATAATTGGTAGTAGATACTGAATAATTCATAGTAGATACTGAATAATTTGTAGTAGATACTGAATAATTCATTGCAGATACTTAATAATTCGTAGTAGATACTTAATGATTCATAGTAGATACTAAATAATTCATAGTGGATACTGAATAATTCCCCGTAGTTTCTGAATAATTCCCTGTAGTTTCTGAATAATTCCCTGTCGTTTCTGAATAATTCCCTGTAGTTTCTGAATAATTCCCTGTAGTTTCTGAATAATTCCCTGTCGTTTCTGAATAATTCCCTGTCGTTTCTGAATAATTCCCTGTAGTTTCTGAATAATTCCCTGTCGTTTCTGAATAATTCCCTGTCGTTTCTGAATAATTCCCTGTAGTTTCTGAATAATAAATGAGAATACTCATACTAAACATAATAAGGCTGCAGTTCAAAGGGTTAATCTAGGTTTGGTTATTGCATCAGCCTTTGCTTTCCACCCATTACAGTAACCCTAACACTGCATCTACATGCAGCTGAATGACTTCAGCAGGCACAGTGATCTGGCTGTGGTATTGAACTGGTAAAGTGAACAAGGTCTGTGAGGGTAATTTCAGACCCACAGCCGACAGGCGGGTCTGCCAGCGCGCTGCTGCATTACACACACTTTTCCATCTCTACTGTACTGAGAGAAACATATTGTCAGATACTTGGCCTGAACCAGCATACTTGCTTTCTGTCTCCAGTCACTCAGCAATGCCTAGACAAGTGTTCTTGGTGTGTATTTACATTGTATGTACTGTTTATATTTTTGAAATATTTTTGAACTGATGTTCCAGTTCTAGTGCATTTACCAGCTGCTGTTCCAGAGCAACTTGCAGTTGTTACATGTTACAGATGTCACAGATGAAGGTGAATGCAGGGTTAGGAGTCTTGCCCAAGGACTCTTATTGGTGTAGTGTGGTTTACTCAGTACATTATACCAACCACAGCATAGACTATAACCATATTTTTATGCAAGTATACTCTGACTGGATCCCTATTCCCTAAATAGTATTGTGCTATATTGTGCTGAACTATTTAGCTGTAAAAACGCAAGAATCAGTGAATTAATTCCGATACTTTCTCATTATCGGCTTGTGTCTCTGTTTACCAGTTACATTAGTTGCAAGGCTGAATTTGCCTTCTTATTCATAGCCATACACATGAGCGTGTTCAGAAAAGTGCAGGAGACAAGGAAGAAATAAAAACCTTGACTATGGTGCACAATTAATTCTTGATCCATGATTACAGTAACCACTGCATGGTGCGCAGCTTTAGGGTGTTTGTTTTTAGCTGTACTGGGCTGCTGTTTTGTTGTAGTGTTTCTCCAGAGAGTCGAGAGAGTCTGATAAGGTTTGTTTTCATTAATGTTGCTTAATAGCAACAGATTCGCAATGCACTTTGGTATATATTACACCAAGGTAGTGATCTATAGTGTTGACTACAAATTGCAAGTGCATTGTGGGATTTTGCAGTGCCCTCAAAATCACTTTCATTTTACTTTTCAAACACTAAGAGAAAAACGGCCAACATAATCAATAGTGCCCTAAAACTAATACTGGCTCTTATAAGTGACATAAGCAGCTGCTTAGGCCGTCAGGGGACCCCCTCACAACTGCTGAGTCACCATTGTGTTGTCTGAAATGCTCAAGTGAGAGGAAACAAGCAACGTGTCTCAAAAAAGAACATAAGCATCAAGAGCTGAGTTTTGCTTTTTTTTCCTTTGTGTTAATTTTTGGTCATTTGTTTCAACTTGTAGTTGGACAACAAGAAGTAGCTAATCTGGTGTCTGTCTAATGAAGCAGGTTCAGTTCAAACAGGCTTTCTGACTGAGATTTAGCTTCACAAAGATGAAGAAAAAGACACGGTTGACGAATTTTACAACTTTCGCTGTTAATCCAAGTTTAGATACTCAGGTTGTAATTAATCCATGTTTAGATATACATACATCATCTAAACCGCTTATCCTTCTGGGTCGCGGTGGGGTGCCGGAGCCTATCCCAGCTGTGATTAGGCGGAAGGCAGGATACACCCTGGACAGGTCGCCAGTCCATCACAGGGCAGACAGACAGACATGCACACACTCACTCACACCTAGGGGCAATTTAGCACGACTCAGCCTGACTGCATGTCTTTGGACTGTGGGAGGAAACCGGAGCACCCGGAGGAAACCCACGCAGACACGGGGAGAACAGGCAAACTCCACACAGAAACGACCCTGGTCATTCTTGCTGTGAGGCGACAGCGCTACCCACTGCGCCACCGTGCTGCCCCATGTTTAAATACTCAGACTGTAATTAAACCAGGTTTAGATACTCAGACTGTGATTAATCCAGGTTTAGATATTCAGTCAGTGATTAATCCAGGTTTAGATACTTAGTCTGTGATTAATCCAGGTTTAGATACTCAGTCAGTGATTAATCCAGGTTTAGATACTTAGTCTGTGATTAATCCAGGTTTAGATACTCAGTCAGTGATTAATCCAGGTTTAGATACTTAGTCTGTGATTAATCCAGGTTTAGATACTCAGTCTGTGATTCATCCAGGTTTAGATACTTAGTCTGTGATTAATCCAGGTTTAGATACTCAGTCAGTGATTAATCCAGGTTTAGATACTCAGTCTGTGATTAATCCAGGTTTAGATACTCAGTCAGTGATTAATCCAGGTTTAGATACTCAGTCTGTGATTAATCCAGGTTTAGATACTCAGTCAGTGATTAATCCAGGTTTAGATACTTAGTCTGTGATTAATTCAGGTTTAGATACTCAGACTGTGATAAATCTAGGTTTAAATACTTAGACTGTGATTAATCCAGGTTTAGATACTCAGTCAGTGATTAATCCAGGTTTAGATACTTAGTCTGTGATTAATCCAGGTTTAGATACTCAGACTGTGATTAATACAGGTTTAATAAAAAACAGGTTTAGAGTCGACCCTGTCTAACACAGAAATGGGGATCAGTTTCTTCGCTGTTGTTGGTATTTTTAAAAATCTCAAATCTTCAAAATTGTAACTTTGGTAACAAATGTTTTCAACTTTCATGTTAAAGAAATGTGGAAGCATTTCTGCCATTATGAACATTCAAACAATGGAAAGAGCAGCTGGCACGATAGTCTCCATAGAGAAAAAACCCAAATATCCTCATGATCCTGCTGAATCTCCGGAGGTCTGCACTGTGGTGGGCTGCTCTACCGGCTGTGGTGGGGGATTTTACTCCATATGATAAAACCAGCATTTTTGTGATGTCGTTATTCACCGTTTTTATCCAAACATGTAAATGACCACGAGCAGAGTGATGAAACACATCCTCCCACACGAGCTGACTCACTGTTATTCATGCTAACACGCAAAAATCTGTCAGCTACAGCCATTCAGTCAAAACATTATTACTGTGCATGAAGCATTATCTGATGCAACCCTGCTGCCATCATTGTTCACTTAGGAATAATATTTCTTTTTTTTTCTTGTTTCCTTTTTTATCTTCTTTTTTTCTTCATTTTTTCTTTTCTTCTTTTTTCAATTTTCTTTCTTCTCTTTTCCCTTTTTCCATTTCACTCCTATTTTCTATCCTTTTCTCCTTTTTCTCTTCTTCTTTTTTCTCCCCTTATCTCCAGTACAACTCATGTATGCAGGGTCCTCCTGGAATGCAGGGCAGGGATGGTAATCCGGGCGTTAACGGCATTCCGGGCACCCCAGGGATTCCAGGCCGGGACGGTATGAAGGGGGAGAAGGGCGAGTGTGTGACTGAGAGGTTTGAGGAGCCATGGAGACCGAATTTCAAACAGTGCGCCTGGAGCTCCCTCAACTACGGCATCGACCTCGGCAAAGTCGCGGTAAGATTCCTCCTCAAATACTGTGGGTGAAAAAAAACAGCTCTTTTAGTGTTTTTAACCCCTAAAGTTACAGATTATTATTATTATTATTATTCTGTAACTACTATGAATCTAATGTGTAAGTTTTGTAGTTATAAGAGTGTCCTACCATTCACTGGCCACTTTATTAGAAACACCCACCTTGTGGATCCACTCACTGGCCACTTTATTAGAAACACCTTCCCTGTGCTTCCACTCACTGGCCACTTTATTAGAAACACCTACTTTGTACTTCCACTCACTGGCCACTGTATTAGAAACACCCACCTTGTGGATCCACTCACTGGCCACTTTATTAGAAACACCTTCCCTGTGCTTCCACTAACTGGCCACTTTATTAGAAACACCTACTTTGTACTTCCACTCACTGGCCACTTTATTAGAAACATGTACCTTCTACTTCCACTCACTGGCCACTTTATTAGAAACACCTGCCTTGTACTTCCACTCACTGGCCACTTTATTAGAAACACCTACCTTGTACTTCCACTAACTGGCCACTTTATTAGAAACACCTACCTTGTACTTCCACTCACTGGCCACTTTATTAGAAACACCTACCTTATAGCTCAACTATGCAGGTGTACAGATTCAGACTGTAGTCCATCTGTTTCTGGACTGTTCATCAGACCCCTTTACCCCAATTATCATGGTCAGTTACAAAATAGAGGTTTCCAATAAAGTGGCCAGCTATAAGGGACAGGTTTCTGATAAACATACAGTGATGTTGTGTTGTTGGCTGTGTTGTAGGAGTGCACCTTCACTAAGCTGCGGTCAGACAGTGCTCTGCGAGTGCTCTTCAGCGGCTCTCTTAGGCTTAAGTGTAAGGCGGCGTGCTGCCAGCGCTGGTACTTCACCTTTAATGGGGCGGAGTGCACGGGACCTTTACCCATAGAGTCTATAATCTACCTGGACCAGGGCAGCCCCGAGCTCAACTCCTCCATCAATATACACAGGACATCTACAGGTACTGCTTATACACATACTAAATATTAATAATATACTTCATTTACATTGTGGTACATTATGACACTAAATGCATCATGAGATCTCAAATGGCATCATGATTCAGTTTGATTTGACCATTTTGACCTTGCTGGTGTTCAGTTAGAGAGTTTAGCTCAGCTGTTGATGCACAGTTTGTGTTCTCCATCCTCTAGTCCTTCATCAGCGGCCACTTTCTGACCACAGAGCCACTGCTGTCTCAACATTTTTGGGTGGCGGCCCAGGCTCTACCTAGCAGTGACACTGACAGAGTGTAAAAACCGGTCAAATGTTTTGTTGAGTAAAAAAGTTCACATCCTCTACACTGAACATGCTTCTGCACATTTTAATGCACAATTACTGTGAATTTAACAAAGTAAAACATAAAATTTGGCCACGGCAAAAGTTATGGCCCATTTTACATTTTGTGCTTTATTTTATATGTTAAACTCAGCAAATAAATAGAAATTATGCACTAAATTTAAAAAAAAAAAGTGTTTTTTCCATAGAAGATGTTATTTATACTTAAAAAATCAATAAAAGAGGGATCTGACCAGTCATATGCAAAAGTTCAAACTTTTCACCAATACAGTGGAGCTACAAAATAAATGGAGCTCATGATAAATAACAATATAATAAAATGGTGAGGTATAAGCTTTTATTACTTACTTGCTCCAGTACTAAAACTAAAGAAGCAGACATTCAAACTGACGTAGGAAAGTTTTGAAATGAAATAGAGATGAAATCGAAAGCATAAACATACAGGCATTGTGCACAGATGTGTAGAGACCATAAAGGCTGTTTGAAATCCTCAATTAAAGCTCCAGTCTATAGATTGCAGGCTTAAGCATATGCATCTCATAGATTTAAGCTTTCAGCCATAGAAAATAGCCCCTTGGCTTTATGTGTGAGCTACGAAGTCTGCAATTATGAAGCTCAGAGATGGATGTAGCTGCTAGATCTATTTGTGGCAGTGTGGTTGCGCTGCATGTGGCCTACAGTTCAACATATGCATAAAGGCTCTCAAACTCTCAGACTGCACAAGAAAATGATTCGAAAATATACTGCTTTGGAGAACATAAGCACCTGATACCCTTCAGCTGAAGGGGAATATGATTTTTTCACGTTATTTTATCATGTCAGACGATAGGCCCAACTGAATATTACAACAATTCCTGTCCATAATAGAAAAAAAATCAATGTGAAAAACATGAAAATACCAATATTTTCTATCCAAAAAAAAAACACACAGCTTTGCCATTATTGACAGAAAGTTGTAGGTATTTTTTTGCGTGTTTGTGCATCTTCATGGTGTTTTTCGGGTGCGTCCAGGCTGTAATTACACGGACACCAGGCGTAATTCTTTCTCCTTTTCTGGTCCTCCTCTGCATCACATCTCCACACTCCCTCAGCAATTAGCGGCCCACAGAGTTCATCACCACTGCGCAAATAAAAGACTGCAGAGCACAAGACAAACACAGCCACATGCACAGAGGCTGAGACGAAAGCTCTGGAGGAATAACGCTTCCAAAATGCAAGGCATGAGATTAGGTAAGATAGGATACAGTCAGAGGACAAGAATCAAATTCAAGTCAGGAAATTCAGCTCACAGGCAGATTTGTCTAAATTTGACATATAAACTCAGCTCATTTACTTAAAGCAAAAAACTCTGCTGGTTGAGATGTAAACAGAGCGGTTCAGAGTGGTTTGGAGTGAAACGCTCCGTTCTAGAGAAACTTACCGAGTCAGAACTGTTCACAGTGGTGGTGATAGGAACCAGACGTCCACCTCTAAAAGCTCCCTCACAGAAAGTTACTACATGAAATGGTTATGAATTCACTGCCTGATGACTGAGACACTGTTTTATGGTAGTTTTGAGAAGATTTTGGCCTAAAATGTGTTTACTTTTTAAATTCCAGGGTGTTGTGAGGTAAAACTTATTATTTCCCCAAACAAAACTTATTATGGTGGTTCTGGATAGTAAATAAAATGTCTATATTCGTGTTGTAGTCATGGCGACCCCTGGTTCCTATCACCACCACTGTAAAGTTTCTCTACAGTGAACCATTCTAATGTAACTGAGCATTCAAATAAAGTATGTTTGAAGTATATTTGGTAATGTCAGTTTTATTTTGCTGCACTGAACCACAGAAAATGTTGAAACACAAGCAGCTCATATTGCATCTCATGCTATGTAAAGTGGGCCCTTGTTTATTTGTAACAATATAATTAATAATAATTTAGAAAAAATTGGTAAAAAATAAAAAAATACAGAAATAAAGAATATCATTAGGTAGTTGTTTGGGGGGGACCCCCATACATAGCCTATGTGTGGGAAATACTGCAGTTTGTATAATCTCCATAGAAAAGCATTGACTAATAGAATGGGACACTCTGGCACAACTGGATATGAGCCTAAGGTCACCATGCCAAATGCCAAGTGTGGATTAGAGCCCCATTTCAGTACTTTTTAACCCCTCAAATGGTCAGAGCCCACCAGCAGGCCCAAACTTGTATTACACACTTCTATAACCTAAGAATATCTCAGCCAGTTTGCACAGAAGTCCCTGTAGTTGCTGAATAAAAAGCCTTAGTATGTAATAAGCCTGGGATTTTAAGGGGGTTAATGTGCCCTCAGCCACTTTGATTCGCCACTCAGCAGGTGCATCACACCTGTGTTGCACAAGTGGCCACTGACAGCAGAAGGTGAGGAGGGGACAGTACTCAAACAGAACCGCTAGGTGATCAAAGCCCATGAAGGCCTGACAAAAAGGCTTCAGGCCAGTTTTTCATGCACGTTGGGCCGCTTTGTGATTTTGTGATTGTGATTGTTTATGCAGTAGATTTGATTTCAGTACTGTACATGTATTTCCCTGTACACTGTATTGATTGGTGGTGTGTGTGTATCCTGCAGTGGAGGGATTGTGTGAGGGCATCACCGCCGGCCTGGTGGACGTGGGCATATGGGTGGGCACCTGTGCGGATTACCCTCGCGGCGACGCCTCCACAGGGTGGAACTCGGTGTCCAGAGTGATCATCGAGGAGCTTCCCAAATGAGCCGACCGTCTCCGTCGCCATGGCGACACAGAGGGAAACAGAAGCAGACCTGTGGAGTATTTCACAACGCAGGATGTTTCAGTAAAGCGGGACAACTTTAGGCCGCAGTGAGGATTTTTTCAGTAGGAATGTCCCTGGAATACTCTTATATTCAGTTTGGTCTTTAAAGGGACCATATTTTACATTTACGTATGTTGTATGTTTATGTACCAAAACAATTGTCATGTTTACAACACCGTCTTCCAACCCCTCTGTATCCCGGGTTGTTTTTGTTGCTGCGCCTTTAACACTTGTATATGTAAATGAGCCCTGTTATGATTGGCTGTGCCTCATTCCAAAGCAGTCCAGGCTGAAACACTACTTATAACTTCAGTGTGATGGGTGGAGCCGTACTTCTTTCAGGAAAATAGGCAGATTTATGAAAATGGACTGTTTTTTGTGACGTCACAATTTAAAATGGACTGTTTGTGCCGTGTATGGACTGTATGGACTGTGGAGTGATCGGTATGTTTTAAAATAAAATTACATCAAGTTACATTTTCCATGATATGGGCCTTTTAAAGGGATATTCCAACATTATTTCAACCTAATCTCTTTATGCCACATCTGTACTGTAGCCTCAGTCGCTACACACAACAATTTTGGTGCATTTTTCTGTACAGAGCACACTTGAAACATACTTATCACAGAAGTCAACAGGCGGCGGCTGAATCCTGAAAGTAAATGTTTATGTGAGACGTACTTTTGTAGACCGTGTTTATGAATACATCAGTCCAGGTTTGTGAATTGAGCTTTAAATCTGTTATTTTTGACATGGGACTGGATTCTTCCAGAGGGAAGGATTTATGGTAATTTGTCACCCGAGTAGTGATGCTTGATTGCCATAGATACCAGAACACCTCAAAGGAAAGCTAAAGTAACCACAACCAGAGCCGGTTTATGGGGAGCCTGGCCACATCCTGTTTCTCCCGTTATATCAAAACATGGCACCAGAGGGCGCCCACGAGTGAGTCCTCAGTGAATCGGGGTGAATGGAGCTAAATGTTAAATGTTAAAATGCTTTGTGCTGTTCGTGAATTCATTCTTCCATACGAAAATCTTTAAGCATTTTCAGACTCTGAATTTGCTCAAATGCTCCCATTTATTTTGGACTCGCACAGGAGCGCCCTCTAGCATCTGACTAGAGGTTGCACGACTTCAGATTTTTAAAAGTTGACGGTCATGTGATGAAGGTCGAATTGATGTCGGCTCATGAATAAAACCACAAGAGAAGAGAATGCCTTAACAAGCGACTTTAAAGATCTGTGACGAAGGGTTTACTATCTAATTATTAGCCATTAATAAACACATAAAAATAATAATTCACAACAACCAGTCATAATCTCATTTTAAACTATTCATAAACCATTATAAGGGTAGTGTTATTGTAAAGTGGCACTGGGGAATCTATAGAAGAGATATTCCATGGTAATTTATGGTACTGTATCAATACACATGAGGAATTCCAAAATGCAGGAGTATTGCTTTAAGTTATCTGGCTAAGTGAAAACATTCTGCTTTGTGAAATACTCCCCAGATGCCTTTTATTGGGGCCCAAAACCTCGATGGTCCATCACTGCTTCTTCAGTAAGCATCCCCACTCAGACTGAGCCAATCAAGGCTTTTAGCCTGTTCCAAATCAGTGGTTTTTAATCCCAGTTCATGCATGTTTTGTGAGTTTTCTTTGCTCTGATGTTGCTGATTCAGCCCCGTCGGTGGTTATCCAGCTCTTACTGAGATGTTTTAGAGCAGAGAAATGCAAAAACTTGCAACAATGTTGGTTTCTTATGACTAAGACTGAGAACCACTGCTTCAGCAGGTCGCTAATCTCTAGCACATTTAGCAATAACTCAGCCAAAATACTCATTTATCCACTTTCCCCTTTACTCTAAATGTAGTAGATGTTTGCTTTTTGGTTTTAACACTGAAGCTCTCAAGGCTAATATAACTTACAAGTAATGCAAGTGAATGCTCCACCAGTTAGCATGGCGCTAACACACATGACTCAAACTGTGTGAAGGTGTTCAGTGTCTCTAATAGACTTGATTATGAGGTTTCTGACCCTGTGTAACTCACTGTTATCTGGACTGAAGTACATTAGCATAGCTAAAAACAACAGCAAACCTGACTGAATTTTGTCTCTACTTGTGTCCATTTTTAGCACAATGCTAATTAGTTGGGCATTAGCTTCAATTACTTGTTAGCTACATTAGCCTCGTAGCTCCAGAGCTAAAACTAAAGAAGCAAACTTCAGACACCAAACATGTCTTGGCTGACAGACTACATTTGAGGTAAGTGGTAATGGCTTTAAACAGTTTGAGGTTCTGTGGATTGATTCATGTGCTAAAAGTGGAATTTTACCAGTTTTATTTTTAAATATTTCTGCATAATTAAGTGGTTAAGATGTAAACAGAGTCGTTCAGAGTGGTTTGGTGTGAAACGCTCTGTTCAAGTCAGAACTGTTCACAGTGGTGGTGATAGGAACCAGACGTCCACCTCTAAAAGCTCCCTCACAGAAAGTTACTACATGGTTATGAATAGATTGCCTGATGACTGAGACACTATTTTACGATAGTTTTCTGAAGTTTTTGGCCTTAAAATTTACTTTCTAAAATTCCATCCATGGTGGAAAGTTACATGCAGGGTGCTGTGAGGCAAAATAGTCCCCAAAGAAAACTTATTATATCAGATTTTCCACTATTTTCCATCATCAACATTCCATATAAACTCAGAAGACTCGTGTAGGTTCACTGGTGGTTCTGGATAGTAAATAAAATGTCTATATCTGTGTTGTAGTCATGGCGACCCCTGGTTCCTATCACCACCACTGTAAAGACATCTGAACCATTTCACTCCAAAATACTCTGAATCTCTCTGTTTACATCTCACACACTGAATTATGCAGCTAACAAATTTAGCATAATCAGTGGAAGTAGTGTTCAGTGTAAACAGACACTAAGGATTTATATTTTTAAAGCATTATATCAGTGTATTTTCCTCAAATATCATCATATCAGTACTGTTTTGGTGACTTGTTTGTAAGACTGTGGCTCTACCCCGATTATCTCTGACTACCTTTAAGCCGCTGTAGTATATTTATGTGTTCTCATTAAACCTACTACCTGTTTTTTTTCAGTTTAATAAATAAAACCATATTACCTTCACTGAACTGTCTTGGACTGGTGACTAAAACTTCCTGATGGTAAATCAGAGCCCATGAAGTGACCACATCATAAAGGAGGGTGCAGTCAGACGCTGCAGTGGAAAAAGTCCACCAGCCTGTGTGAGTAATGCTGGGAAAGTCTGGCCCAGTGAGTGGTTTCACAGCTGCTCTGTGTTCACTCTCACACACACACTCAGAGCAGGATAGACAGCAGCTTTTAAACCTACACACACACACACACACACACACACACACACACACACACACACAGATATTTAACACTATACCCACTCTCAGTCAACTACAGTATAGACCTCAGTGCTCTTATACTCTTCAAATCTGTTTATCTGGGCAGTATGTGTGTGTTACCCATAAAATGCCACACATCATGAATTACAAATAAACATAAATACAGTAAAAAAGTAACAAGAATTTCTTGTTTTCAGAAAAGTAGTTGATATCTTGAGAGCTGGTTAGAAGAACACAGGGTTTGATTCCCTACATCTACTGTGAATTATTCAGTATCTACTATGAATCATTTAGTATCTTCTATGTATTATTCAGGATAAACTAATTAAACTAATTAAACTAAACTAATTATTCAGTGTCTACTATGAATTATTTAGTATCAAGTATGCAATATTCAGTATTTATTATAATTTATTCAGTATCTACTATGAATTATTCAGTATCTATTATGAATTATTCAGTATCTACTATGAATTATTCAGTATCTACTGCAAATTATTCAGTATCTACTATGAATTATTCAGTATCTAATATGATTATTCAGTATCTACTATGAATTATTTAGTATCTGCTTTGAATTATTCAGTATCTATTATGAATTATTCGGTATCTACTGTGAAATATTTTGGTATTTACTATGAATTATTCAGTAGCTACTATGAATTATTCAGTATCTACTTTGAATTATTCATTATCCACTGTGAATTATTTAGTATCTACTATGAATTATTCAGTATCTACTGTGAATTATTCAGTATCTACTATGAATTATTCAGTATCTACTGTGAATTATTCAGTATCTACTACGAATTATCCAGTAACTTTTCCTTTTGCAGGAATGATCCATTTGCTTCCTGACAGCCAGGAACAGCACGATTTTTAATCAGTTAAACTGTGACATCACAACCATTAATTAATTCCAACCATGCTGTTTTTGCAGCTTAGTTTCTTTGTATGGACGGCATGGACTGAGGAGCGAATGGTGCATGTTTACACTTGCTGATATCAAGCTATTTTAAAGAAAAAAGCAAGATAATGTTGGTTTTACGTGATAAGAATGAGAATGTACTCTGGAGTCGACAGAAAGGTTCATAACAGCAATGCCTTTTCACTCTTTTATTAATCGTGTAAAAATTACATGTATATATTTCAGCTCTCCTGAGTTTGATTTTTGCATTGATCAAGACACAAAGTTTAATCTGACAAACTGATAGGAGCCAATATGGCTGGAAAACACCTACTTACACACACATAAGCCAACAGACTGAAACACACGCTGGATTAACATGGCGTATATAAGGAGCACACATCTATATATATGTAATGCCACTGAAGAAATAGCAGAGTGCGGTGAGGGGCGGGGCTTACATTGTCGGCCACTCAAAATAGCATTTTAAATGTTTTTTTATACAGATAAATCTCTGTCTCATCCCAACACAACTTATACGGTCAACTCTCAACCTGTTTTAACCCCTAGAAGTCTCAGTTATCAATATATATAAATTATTTAACATATTAGCCATTGAAACAAGTGGACAAGCTGTCTAGAAAGTTCAGATTCTAAACTTTCAACCCATAATCTCTTAAAAAAGTGGTCCTTTGAGGGGTTTTTAGTGAAGACAATGGTTCTATATGGAACCATGAACACCCAAAGTACCATATGCATGCTTAAATGGTTCTCTGCCTGGTGGAGTGGTTCTTCAGATTGATGGAGATTGTGCTGTAACCCCCAAAAAGGGCTCTGCTACTGTTGTCATGTCAAGCTTGTATAAAATAGCAGAACGTTTAAGTGCTATATAGAACTATTACCATATACAACACATTCGCCATCAATCTGAAGAACCATTTCACCAAGCAGAGAACCACTGGTTCTCTGAGTGTTCACGATTCTATGTAGAACCATAGTCTTTACCAAAGAACCATCTTTTTAAGAGTGTATCACATGCAGATCCTTTACATTTTTGCTGTTTTTGTCATTTTTTGACATTGAAACAGATGAAAAAAACTGTCGAGTGAAATAAAACCTGCTTCATTATAAATGTAATTACATAATTACCTTTAAAGAACATTTTCAGACTCAAAGCAGAATGTAAATTTAATGGAAATTTAATTGAATAAGTAATTATGTATTTATTAATGTAATCACACAACATTTATATAACGTCTCCAAATGACAATAATACCAAGTCTAAATAATAACTGTAGACTTTCTAAGGGCCAAAACTCCCTCTTTGTTTTCTTGTGCGTAATCCGGATACATTTGGTTTGTATAAAGTCTCTTCCTTCCCCTGCAGGGTCTCCATCCATTCCTCGCTGTCGTTTCCATTCCAGCTTTGTGCCAATCCACTGAGCGTGCTCAGTAAGCCAAACCATGGTCCAGCTTTGGAGTGGAAACTCACTCACAGTCATCTTCAAGGGGTCAACAATTCGGCCCTAGTTCACAAATACAGCACAGACAGTCCGTGATCTTCTCCTGCGGCTCACGCCTGACTTACTTCAGAATACATATCATCATGTGAGGCAAGACAGGAATACATAAATACAGACACCGCTCATATACAGGAATAGGGTGCTCATATAATCATGTGGTGACAGAAGCACTATTGGGACGGTAGTCGTTTTCTGTGAGGAGGTGGGGTGATGTAACTTCACCACAGGATGTTAGTCATGTTTGTGAACAATTCACACAGGATGAAATTTCAGAGATCAGAGCAGCTACTCGACTGCCTTCACACCGATACGTTCAGCTCTTACGAGCAGAAAACATGTCCGAACATTTAATCGAATCATAACCATCTGTCTGGCTGTTTTGAGTGAAACGGTGTGTCACTGGCTGGTGGATTTTCAGCCAACAGTCATCGGAGCATAAAAACTGCTATTATTTCACTCATTCTAAAACTTGGACTGGCATACTTGAGGTAGAGCAGAACATATCGGTTTGATTTTGGCCGCAGAGCACAAGTAAATTCTACTCCGACTGCCTCCATTCTTAGGAAAAAACGCAAACTTTCCATAGGATGTGATACAATATTTGCCAGGGATTAATACAACCTGGAGTTATTTTTACAGCTTATACACAACGGATATAACCTGGGACTATTTCTACAGTTCGTGTTATAGTATGGGATTAATGTAACCTGGCATTGTTTCTGCAGCTTGTTTTATAGAGCAGGATTAATTATTAGTCTTTCTATGGTTTGCAGAACAGGATTAATATAACCTGGGATTATTTCTGTGGCTCATTTTATAGCATGGGATTACCATACCGGGGATTATTTCTATGGTTTGTGTTATAGTGCGGGATTAATATAACCAGGGTTTATTTCTATAGTTAGTTTTACGGAGCGGGATTAACATGGGATTATTTATATGGCTCATTTTATAGCACGGGATTAACATAACCAGGGTTTATGTCTATTGGTTGTTTTATAGTGTGGGATTAACATAACCTGGGATTATTTCTGCAGCTCGTTTTATAGCACAGGATTACCATGACTGGGGTTTTTTCTATGGTTTGTTTTATATTGTGGGATTAACATAACCTGGGATTATTTCTGCAGCTCATTTTATAGCACAGGATTAACATAACCTGAGATTATTTCTGCAGTATGTTTTATAGCGCAGGATTACCATAACAGGGGTTTATTTCTATGGTTTGTGCGTGATTAACATGACCAGGGTTTATTTCTATAGCTAGCTTTACAGTTTTATTTCTATGGTTAGTTTAAAGGTGGTGGATTAACATGACCTGGGATTTTTTCGGTGGTTCATTTTATAGACTGGATTAACATAATCTGGTTGTATTTCTGTGGTGCTTTTTAAGGCATGAGTTTAATATAACCTAAGAACATTATTATGACCTGAGATGAATATTTTTACCATGTATTTTATAGCAATGGGATTAATATATCAGAGATTATTTCTATGGCGTCGTTTTATAGCTCAGGATTACTTTACTGATGCAGGAGCATGTGGTACAGAATATTTTGGCGGATCGGGACGGGATTAAAATCAGAATCATTAATAATTACATCACCCCATGTAAAACTAAACCTGTCCCAATAGTACTGAGAAACGTCCTGCACTGAATTTACTTGATTCAGATGAGTTTCATTTGCACACAAATAAAACATTTCATATTAAAAATAAAGTAAACTGAACGACGACTGAACCGTGTTTATGTAATATACTGTATTCACATGAAAACGATGCGCACATTTGAATCAAGCAAACTGAGTGTCGCTTCATGATATAATGGCTATAATTCTATTTTTTACCCAACCTGATCATTTAATTCCTCTCAGCACATGTTTATGTTTACACACTGTATTCTCTGCGCTAGTCTAATATCCACAAATGTGCAAGACAACACGGACACACTTCTCCGACCCGACTGTTGACCTGAATGTCCCTTTAGGTGAGAGTAAAGTTAAGCGCGATAGAAGATAAAAGCTACCCAGCCCTCTCCTCCAGTGCATGCACCTTATTTTGTGCGCACATGCTAAACACATTGGAGTTGTTGGGTTCTGTGACCGCTGCACCGTCCTGACTCTCCCTAACACACGCACATGTCCTGCGACGCTGTGTTGGGCTGTTTTTGGCTGAGCTGCTGCGTGTGAGGTTCAGTGGTACTGTCCCAGAAGAAGGCGCGAGACGTTCTCATAGACGAGGAAAGTGATGCAGCAGGCTGGAATGACTCGCACCAGGTTGGGCACCATGCCTTTATAAAAGCCCTCAACTCCCTCGTTCCTGTAAAACACATACAAAAGAGACACAAATTAAACTGCGGTTAACCCTGTTAAAGGTCTCGTCTGTAACCCATTAGCTTCTGTCTTTGTCTCCTTTAACACCTTAACAGGACACTTTCCCACCAGCAGGCACAGAGTTTAATTACACACTTCCATAACCTAAGAATAACTCACTGAAGTCCCTGTAGATACTGAATTATAAGCCTTAGCATGTGATAAACATGGGATTTTAAGTGGTTAACTGATTAAAATCTGTCCACATTGGTCAGTAAAATGGATCAGCGAGTGGAACTGGAGCTTTCTGTGCACTGTAAAAAATTCTAAGTCAGCTCAACTGAAAATTATAAGTGAACATATTACATATTGAGTTTATTCAACTTGAGGACACTTAACTGCAACCAATTCAAACTAATCAGCTTAGTCAAAAGTTATGGTAACTCATTTTTTTTTAAGTTGTGCATCTCAGTTAGGGAAACAACAGCACAGAAGTCTAAAGGCTCATGGATATTGAGATATTTTCACTTCTTTTCTCGAGACATCAAGTTGTTTATATCATCACAACACACCAAACGTTGAATCTTGATAAAAACTATGTTCATTATGTCGTGATAATGATATAAATACCTCCAGATCTCAAGGAAACAACATTTGTTTGCTGGGATTATGATTATGAGATAAATATTACAAGATCTCAAGAAAACAAATGATAGCTAGAGTGAAAAACGTGAATCCATGGCCCTTTAGGGGCAACAGCGAACACACACACACACACACACACACACACACACACATACATACATACATTCATCATGACATTTACACACAATGTAAAGGACAACAGGCATTTTCAAATAATGTCAACATTACAACAATGACAATGTGTCTATCCTCTTGGTTGTCAACATGCCAACGTCAGAGACCACAGTGATTGGTGGAGTGAGTTCATGCCGAGTCACAATATTATTAGCTATAAAATAATGCAGCATGTTTGCTGTCCTCTTGCCTCTTTTATACAGTGATAGAAAACACGATTTCACACAGAAAGCTCTGATTCTTCACACTGACATGTTTCACTGCGGCCACCGTGAACATGCATATTTAATGAAACAGATTTAATGAAGTTAAAGGGGACGTCACCAAATTCTCAAAACAGATCGCCAGCCAGACGCTCTGTGGTTTTAATACAGAACTCAACTGATGCACACAGTGAACTGTGTACGTATTATTTTAGGATTTAAAAAGACTCCACCAATCAGATATTAGAACCAGAAATATCCATTTGTGCTCAATTAGTAACCATCTGTGTCGTTCAAATGCACAATTATTTGACAGAGATAAAAAAAATGGATAGAAACTGGATGATGACACTATCAAACGCACCGCTGGATAATCAGTTTTGTTTTCTAAGCCATTTAAGGAACAGTCTGGCAAAACAATGTAATTTATACAATTCTCATTTGCCTCCTTAACTCAAATGTAGTCGATCAGCAAAGACATGTTTGGTGACTGAAGTTTGCTTTAGTTTTAGCTCTGGAGCTACGAAGCTAATGTAGCTAACAAGTAATGGAAGCTTGCTGCCCACCAATTAGCATGTTCAGTTATCTTTAATAGACTAGATTATGTCGCTGTATGACCGTTCTCTAAACACTGCAAAAAAAGATATCATAGCAAGCGAAAACGTCTTAAATGTAGTCAATATATCTGATATTTCTGTTTATGAGTTGAATATAATGATTATTCAACATATTTCTATGAATTTTTACTCGTTTTTAGTAACTGAATCCAGTGAAAGTGTCTTATTCCATTGGCAGATTGTTTTACATGTTTCGAGAAATAATGCATCAAAACAAGCGAAAGTATTTGCCAGTGGAATAAGACAATTTCAGAAAATGAAAGAACTTTAAACAAGTAAAAACTTCTAAAAATAGGTTGAATAACTTTCTAATTAGTCTCCTAACAAGAAATGTTAGATTTATTGACTAGATTTAAGACGTTTTCACTTGCTGAGACATCATTTTTAGCATAGCTAAGAACATCAGCAGTATTTTGAAGCCTTATATTGTTTGTTTTGGGTTTAATATTCCATTGCTTTAAGTTATCAAACTTGTCAGCAAACCTAAAGGGGGAATTTGTATACATTAGTTCTTTTCACAAAACTATGCCTTTAACTCTTAATCAGGGTTGAGATCAGTAAGTTAACTCAACTATGCTTTACAGTTATGAACTCTGCACATGTGCAGAGAGATTTCCCTACTTTTCAGAGACCAAAAGCTTTTAAGCTGCTCGCTCCGTTGCATCATCTGTAAACATGAAGGACTAAAGCGCTGGTGAAATTACAGCAGAGCTAATGATACTAAATGACTGTGTTTGGGATAAAGAGCTAAAAACTGTGCCAGATGTGCTGGTGTGTACCTCCACGTTCTCCTGATGACGTCCGCTATGCCGCTGTAATTGTTGTGCTGGTCCTGAAGTCGTGCTCGCACCACCTGGTACGGGTAGGTTGCTGCCACGGCAACTATTTTGGAGACGGCTGCCATGACAATATATTCCAGAGGAGACTGAAGGAGTGGAGAGAGAGAGAGAGAGAGAGAGAGAGAGAGAGAGAGAGAGAGAGAGAAAGAGAGAGAGAGAGAGAGAGACATTCATTACAGAAATAAAAACAAACAAATTCGGTGACTTTTAACCCTCAGAAAACAGACTATAATTTTTAATAAAGTATTTCTGACTCAGCTCATTCAAACAAATGCATGAATGCTGTGGAAAGTGCAGATTCTAATCTTTCAATTCACACTACATGTGTTTGTTAGTAGAAAAGGAGATATTTTATCATTATATGAATCATAAACGTTACTGTTTTGTGAACAGTCCTGTTTTGAGGAACCATCTTTTATATTTTTACTGTTTTTGTCATTTTTTGACATCGAAACAAGCAGAAAAAAGCCTGAAGTGCAGAATTGAACCTGCTTAGATTGTAACAAGGATGTAAACTTCATGAATTATATTAATTTGCTTAATTAATGCAAACAGCTACATATTAATAATTATGTGAAATTTAATGTAGAACATGCACCGCAAAAAAATAATATCTTTTCAAGTAAAATTATCTTCAATCTAGTCGATATATCCAATATTTCTCCTGTTGAGATTGTTGGAAGCTTATTTTAAGATTATCTAACTTATTTCCAAACATTGTTTACTTGTTTTAAGTGATTTTATGAAGTAAAATTATCTCACCATACTGGCAGATAATTTTGCTTGTTGTAAGAAATGAGCTTGAAACCAGCAAAATTATCTGCCAGAACAGTGAGATAATTTTAATTTACTTAATAAAATTACTTAGAACAGGTAGAAAATGTCTAAAAATAAGCTAAATAATCTTAAAACAAGTGCACAACCATCTCAAAATAAGGAATATTAGATATATTGACTAGAATTAAGATAATTTCACTTGACAGGAACTGTTCAAAAACTGTTCTGAATGTTCTGCTGCAGAAGTGTAAAGTTTTTATATACCGCCATATTTTTGTTAATACAGTACTGTAAGTTTTGAACACCTGTAAAAATAAAAAGCTATTTAGCTTTATTTCCTCACAAAAACACTAATATTGGAATACAAAATACAAATAATATTATTACAATACATAGTGTATTCATGTACGTGAATGTGTTTGTTTAACCATTTCCAAACCTCTCGTAGAAGAAGGCCAGTATTATTTGCAGTTATCATGTAATAAATGGTTTATTTAATAAATGGTTCATTAAACTGATGGAATTAAACAAACCTATGACTGGAGTTTAGAGAGAGTCAGGAACCTGTGTTCTAACTCTGCTCACTTCTGACTAGTTTATGTTACATTTTACTGTATTTATGTGTTTTTTTGTGTTTATTAATTCAAGTATCATCATGCTTTGCACCAGAGTTATTTATTTGTATTTATACTAATCTTATTTAGTGTTTTTACAGTAAAAACACACTTATTGCTGAGATAAACACTTTCACACAGGTCGCTTAGGTGCCTTAGACTTCTGCACAGTACTGTACATATTTAAAAGTGAAATTAGCCAATAGCGTGCATTCACTGAGTAAACAGACTGTGTGTCTGTTCAGCACTGTCCTTCAAACATCTGCTCAGAGGTTTCCTTTAACTTCCGCCACAGTCAGATCTCTGAGAGTTAAAGGAAAGCTCCGAGCGGATGTTTTAAGGGCAGTGCTGAACAGACACACGGTTTGGGTAATTCCACACCAGTGACCTAATCTGGAATTACCCAAACGGTGAGTGAAAACATGCTGTTTGTCCTTAAAGCAACAATATTATTCTCCTACATCTTTCCCACTCTTTCAGCCTTATAAACTACTCTACTACCACGGTCTACTACTGAAACACAGTCCACTACTGAAACACAGTCCACTACTGAAACAGTCTACTACTGAAACACAGTCCACTACTGAAACACAGTCTACTACTGAAACACAGTCCACTACTGAAACAGTCTACTACTGAAACACAGTCTAATACTGCAACACAGTCCACTACTGAAACAGTCTACTACTGAAACACAGTCTACTACTGAAACACAGTCCACTACTGAAACACAGTCCACTACTGAAACAGTCTACTACTGAAACACAGTCTACTACTGCAACACAGTCCACTACTGAAACAGTCTACTACTGAAACACAGTCCACTACTGAAACAGTCTACTACTGAAACACAGTCCACTACTGAAACACAGTCCACTACTGAAACAGTCTACTACTGAAACACAGTCCACTACTGAAACACAGTCCACTACTGAAACAGTCTACTACTGAAACACAGTCCACTACTGAAACAGTCTACTACTGAAACACAGTCTACTACTGCAACACAGTCCACTACTGAAACACAGTCTACTACTGAAACACAGTCTACTACTGCAACAGTCTACTACTGAAACACAGTCTACTACTGCAACACAGTCCACTACTGAAACACAGTCCACTACTGAAAAGTCTACTACTGAAACACAGTCTAATACTGCAACACAGTCCACTACTGAAACAGTCTACTACTGAAACACAGTCCACTACTGAAACACAGTCCACTACTGAAACAGTCTACTACTGAAACACAGTCTACTACTGAAACACAGTCTACTACTGAAACAGTCTACTACTGAAACACAGTCTACTACTGAAACAGTCTACTACTGAAACAGTCTACTACTGAAACACAGTCCACTACTGAAACAGTCTACTACTGAAACACAGTCCACTACTGAAACAGTCTTCTACTGAAACAGTCTACTACTGAAACACAGTCCACTACTGAAACAGTCCACTACTGAAACACAGTCTACTACTGAAACACAGTCTACTACTGAAACAGTCTACTACTGAAACACAGTCTACTACTGAAACAGTCTACTACTGAAACACAGTCTACTACTGAAACAGTCTACTACTAAAACACAGCCTACTACTGAAACAGCCTATTATTGCAACACAGTCCACTACTGAAACAGTCTACTACTGAAACACAGTCTACTACTGAAACAGTCTACTACTGAAACACAGCCTACTACTGAAACAGTCTACTACTGAAACACAGTCTACTACTGAAACAGCCTACTACTAAAACACAGCCTACTACTGAAACAGCCTACTACTGCAACACAGTCCACTACTGAAACAGTCTACTACTGAAACACAGTCTACTACTGAAACAGTCTACTACTGCAACACAGTCTACTACTGAAACAGTCTACTACTGAAACAGTCTACTACTGAAACAGTCTACTACTGCAACACAGTCTACTACTGAAACAGTCTACTACTGAAACAGTCTACTACTGAAACACAGTCTACTACTGAAACAGTCTACTACTGAAACAGTCTACTACTGCAACACAGTCTACTACTGAAACAGTCTACTACTGCAACACAGTCTACTACTGAAACAGTCTACTACTGAAACACAGTCTACTACTGAAACAGTCTACTACTGAAACAGTCTACTACTGAAACAGCCTACTACTAAAACACAGCCTACTACTGAAACAGCCTACTACTGAAACACAGTCCACTACTGAAACAGTCTACTACTGAAACACAGTCTACTACTGCAACACAGTCCACTACTGAAACAGCCTACTACTGCAACACAGTCTACTACTGAAACACAGTCCACTACTGAAACAGTCTACTACTGAAACACAGTCTAATACTGCAACACAGTCCACTACTGAAACAGTCTACTACTGAAACACAGTCTACTACTGAAACACAGTCCACTACTGAAACAGTCTACTACTGAAACACAGTCCACTACTGAAACAGTCTACTATTGAAACACAGTCTACTACTGAAACAGTCTACTACTGAAACACAGTCCACTACTGAAACAGTCTACTACTGAAACACAGTCCACTACTGAAACAGTCTACTACTGAAACAGTCTACTACTGAAACACAGTCCACTACTGAAACACAGTCTACTACTGAAACACAGTCCACTACTGAAACAGTCTACTACTGAAACACAGTCTACTACTGAAACAGTCTACTACTGAAACAGTCTACTACTGAAACACAGTCCACTACTGAAACAGTCTACTACTGAAACAGTCTACTACTGAAACAGCCTACTACTAAAACACAGCCTACTACTGAAACAGCCTACTACTGCAACACAGTCCACTACTGAAACAGTCTACTACTGAAACACAGCCTACTACTGAAACAGTCTACTACTGAAACACAGTCTACTACTGAAACAGCCTACTACTAAAACACAGCCTACTACTGAAACAGCCTACTACTGCAACACAGTCCACTACTGAAACAGTCTACTACTGAAACAGTCTACTACTGAAACACAGTCTACTACTGAAACAGTCTACTACTGAAACAGTCTACTACTGCAACACAGTCTACTACTGAAACAGTCTACTACTGAAACACAGTCTACTACTGAAACAGTCTACTACTGAAACAGCCTACTACTAAAACACAGCCTACTACTGAAACAGCCTACTACTGAAACACAGTCCACTACTGAAACAGTCTACTACTGAAACACAGTCTACTACTGCAACTCAGTCAACTACTGAAACACAGTCTACTACTGCAACTCAGTCAACTACTGAAACACAGTCTACTACTGAAACAGTCTACTACTGCAACAGTCTACTACTGAAACAGTCTACTACTGAAACACAGCCTACTACTGAAACACAGTCTACTACTGAAACACAGTCCACTACTGTGGTCTACTGGTCCACTACTATACAGTCTACTAGTGCAACACAGTCTACTACTGAAACAGTCCACTACTGCAGCACAGTCTACTACTGAAACACAGTCCACTACTGTGGTCTACTGGTCCACTACTATACAGTCTACTAGTGCAACACAGTCTACTACTGAAACAGTCCACTACTGCAGCACAGCCTACTACTGAAACAGCCTACTACTGAAACACAGTCCACTACTGAAACAGTCTACTACTGAAACACAGTCTACTACTGCAACTCAGTCAACTACTGAAACACAGTCTACTACTGCAACTCAGTCAACTACTGAAACACAGTCTACTACTGAAACAGTCTACTACTGCAACAGTCTACTACTGAAACAGTCTACTACTGAAACACAGCCTACTACTGAAACACAGTCTACTACTGAAACACAGTCCACTACTGTGGTCTACTGGTCCACTACTATACAGTCTACTAGTGCAACACAGTCTACTACTGAAACAGTCTACTACTGAAACAGTCTACTACTGCAGTCTAACATTGAAACACAGTCTACTACTGAAACAGTCTACTACTGAAACAGTCTACTACTGCAGTCTAACATTGAAACACAGTCTACTACTGCAGACCAGACTACAGGGTTGTTCACTGAAATTCATACTGTGCTGATTTGGACTGTTAAAACGTCTGTAATCAGTGTTTTCAATAACACTTTTGGGACAAACAATGTTGTTCACAAAATACCTGAACACTTGAAACATTGACTAAAACACCTAAAAGACATGTAGTTCTCTAATATATATCTATATTTAAAAATGCATTTCTATAATGAGTAAATAACAAACGGGTATAACTCAGAAATTGCATTAATGGTGTTAAAAAAAATGGGTGGGGCTAGTAATAATTTAATTATTAATGCTTTAAAACGTTAAATTATAATGAATGCTTTGACTGTGACAGCCCTAATTATATTTTATACGAACATCTAACAGTACACATTTTAATTGTGCTTTTATTCATAATCAAATTTGGATTTTAGATTGTTTTGTTAAAAAATCAGTAGTCCAGTAAGAACAAAAGAACTTTAGCCATTATTTTGACCATTTTCTCAAATTTTTGGATGCGGACGTTAAAGGGTTTGTATGACATCTGTATATTGTAGTGTACATCTGTTATAGAAACTTAACCAGATGTTGCATAACCAGGTTATATCTAATGCAAATGTGGAGAATGTGAAGCTCGCTCACCAGCAGGGCTTCTGAAGGCATCTCCTTATATCTGTTCTGTTCCCTCTTCAGACCTTCGTAAGTCATGAACTGCAGTGCAGCTTGAGTGGTTCCCACAAGTCCTGGCAAAAAGCCCTGAAGTGACAAATACAACAGAATGAGCTTCGTGCCTAAAACTGTACAAACCACAGCAGAAACTTGTCTGTTTACAAACCACAGCCACAGCAAAGCTATAAAGGTATTTCAGAAACATTTTTATGCAGGTATTGTACTAGTATTATAATAAAATCTGCTTATTTATAATCATATTTATAATAACTTTAATAATAAAGTTCAGACACTATTATTCTAGATAGATTTATACTCTGCTACTGACTCAACAGCATAGTATAGAGGAGTTAGCAAAGCTTTTACACCCAGTTGAAAACATATATGCAGTGTCATAAGAAAAGTGCACTGAAGCCCCCTAGTGGCGCAGTGGAGAAAATACAGCTTTACAAGGTAAAAGTCTGGAGGAACACACTAGAAAAGAACACCACCACCAGTATACTGCATATATGCATATATACTGCATATACTGTTTATCTGATATTGAATAATTATTACTCTCTAAAGCAGTGGTTCTGAGCTCCAGCCATGGAGAACCACTGCCCTGCACATGTTCATGCGTTCCTGGTACTAATACTGCTGATTAACCTATTCATGCTTGGCCCATTAATGTGTTCTTTTAAAGGTACTGTTGTAAAGTTGGACAAGCTTTACAGAACACTGGTAAAAATCCCATTTAACCTAAAGAAAAACTGTCCAATACACATTGTTTTCTCATTAGGCTGAATGAATAACTGGCTCTAAATGTAGGTATTGTGATATAAACTGAGTCTGTTCTACAGTTTCTCATTAGGTTGAATGAATAACTGACTCTAAATGTAGGTATTGTGATATAAACTGAGTCTGTTCTACAGTTTCTCATTAGGCTGAATGAATAACTGGCTCTAAATGTAGGTATTGTGATATAAACTGAGTCTGTTCTGCAGTTTCTCATTAGGCTGAATGAATAACTGACTCTAAATGTAGGTATTGTGATATAAACTGAGTCTGTTCTACAGTTTCTCATTAGGCTGAATGAATAACCGACTCTAAATGTAGGTATTGTGATATAAACCGAGTCTGTTCTACAGTTTCTCATTAGGCTGAATGAATAACTGACTCTAAATGTAGGTATTGTGATATAAACTGAGTCTGCTCTACAGTTTCTCATTAGGCTGAATGAATAACCGACTCTAAATGTAGGTATTGTGATATAAACTGAGTCTGTTCTACAGTTTCTCATTAGGTTGAATGAATAACTGACTCTAAATGTAGGTATTGTGATATAAACTGAGTCTGTTCTACAGTTTCTCATTAGGCTGAATGAATAACCGACTCTAAATGTAGGTACTGTGCTATAAACTGAGTCTGTTCTACAGTTTCTCATTAGGCTGAATGAATAACTGCCTCTAAATGTAGGTATTGTGATATAAACTGAGTCTGTTCTACAGTTTCTCATTAGGCTGAATGAATAACTGACTCTAAATGTAGGTATTGTGATATAAACAGCGCAATGGGCCCCCAGGACTGGAGTCTAGAACCACTGTTCTACATGTACAGACAGGACAGACAGAGTAGTGGAGGTTAGTTTGAAATCTGTAGATGTACCCTGTATAATCCCGGGATACCCTCGTGACGGTATATTTTCACGAGGGCGTCCAGCATTCCCTTGTACTGCTTCCCGTCCGGCTCTGCATTGTACTGCAGCACCAGCCGGGTCTTTGTCACCCAGACCGGGTTGGTCAGGCAAAGCGTCAGAATGCCTGGAAACGCAGGGGAACAGGGAACATGGAGTCCAACACATTGGGCACCTTACACACCAACACTCTGACAGAGCTCAGCATAAAGCCGCCTGACGCTGCGCTACGTGTGTGTGCGTGTGGTGGTGGTCAGTGGATCAACGCTTCAGGGCTGTCATGTTACTGAAGTGACCAATAAGAGTGAAATATCTAAACGAAACCATTTGGAAAATGATCATGTTTCATAAAGTGATGACATGGCCAAAAATCATATGTACACAGCTCTCCTCCTGACCCCAGGTGTAGCCGATCAGTCAAAACACGTTTAGTGTCTGAAGTGTGCTTGTTTAGTTTTAGCACTGGAGCTAAAAAGTAATGGAAGTTCACATTTGTGTGCAAAAGTTTGGTCAAATTCCATGTTGTTGGTGATTTTCTGAGTGTAAATAAGTGAAGACGTCCTCTACGGAGACACACTTCTGCACATTTGAATACACAATTACTGTTTATTTGCTGAATTTAACATACTGTATACACAATGAATACACTGGACACTTTTAAATCTGGGCTGAAAATCTTCCTATTTGAGCGGCTTTCAGCTCAGTTTAGAACACTGTAAGCTCTACTGCACTTTAGAAAACAAACAAAACAAAACAAAAATGGTCTGTGCAAAAGTTACGGTACATTTTATATTTTATTGTTTATGTTTTTGAAATGTGGTAAATTCAGCCACTAGGCCAGGGGTGTCAAACCCCACCACTAAAAGGGCCATATTAAAAAATCTCAACAAATCCGTGGGCCAGCTGTGTTTTTATTTCATTTATACTTAACATTTTGCCAAGAACCCAAAACCTGCAACAGCTAAATGGGCACTGAATACTTAAACTATTCACTGATATTTAAAAATAAAAACAAATTGTTTTATACACCGATCAGTGTATATGACTATTTGGGTGGTGGATCATTCTCAGCACTGCAGTAACACTGACATGGTGGTGGTGTGTTAGTGTGTGTTGTGCTGGTCTGAGTGGATCAGACACAGCAGTGCTGCTGGAGTTTTTAAACACCTCAGTGTCGCTGCTGGACTGAGAATAGTCCACCAACCAAAACTATCCAGCCAACAGCGTCCTGTGACCACTGATGAAGGACTAGAGGATGACCAACACAAACTGTGCAGCAGCAGATGAGCTATCGTCTCTGACTTTACATCTACAAGGTGGACTGACAAGGTAGGAGTGTCTAATAGAGTGGACAGTGAGTGGACACAGTGTTTAAAACTCCAGCAGCACTGCTGTGTCTGATCCACTCGTACCAGCGCAACACACACTAACACACCACCACCACGTCAGTGTTACTGCAGTGCTGAAAATGATCCACCACCCAAATAGTACCTGCTCTGTGAGGGTCCACGGGGGTCCTGACCACTGAAGAACAGGGTAAAAGGGGGCTAACAAAGTATCAGAGAAACAGATGGACTACAGTCTGTAACTGTAGAACTACAAAGTGCACCTATATAGTAAGTGGAGCTGATAAAATGGACAATGAGCGCAGAAACAAGGAGGTGGTCATAATGTTATGCCTGACCGGTGTATAAAACAATAGGCTGCATTATCTAGATAACTGTTAAACTTTTTTAATGTCCCCAGGTGGTAATTCTTTTTATAAATTGCTGGAACTCGACACCAGATATCTTTTATTTTTGCGTAACCACTGCTCCCACAGAAGGTAGCGCAGCTCCTGGTGAAACAGGCTAATATTAATGAAAATTAAAACACTTTCGCAGGCTGAACAGGATTGTGTCACAGGCCTGATTTGGCCTGCCTTGTGTTTGACACATGGGAACCAGGCAGTAACTGTGCATTAAAATGTTCTCTGTAGTGGATGTTAACTTGTTTACACTTAGAAAATCTACTTGCAGTCTGACCAGGGGTGTCAAAACGTTTCCATATGACTGTATGTTAGCGGTTAGCGTCATGCCCGAATCATCGCACACCTGCCTCATACAAAACCAGAGAAGTGGATACAAAATTCAAGCTGTTGTGTGATGCACATTCTGTCCATTTTTGGTGCGTCTGCAACTACCAGCAGTGTATTTTTGAATATATGTTCACATTTCTGGCATGAAGAGAACACTGTATTACTGTCCTCATACATTTTTACATGCAAAATTATTGCTAAATGTAATTTATGAAGCATATGTTGGGTCAAAATGCCAATTTTATTAATGTTTATTACCATTTTATTCATGTCTCACACTTGTTTTCAATCTTCAAATGCATAACAAGAAGTGAACTGTAATATGTTTTCAGTTAAAACTGCACAGTATAAATGTAAAATCAAAACATATTTAAATACTGTTATTGTCACTTTTGCCTTTTTTTTGGATAAATATGTCCATATCACATCTATTTGTCTGGATCAAATAACATAAAATACTTTTTTTTTCAAAACAAAACAATCCTACTTTGAATGGAAACCTAAGTCAGCCAAAGAGCCCCTAAGCAAAAGTGTGTGAAACCTAATCTAGGAGTCCCTGAATTCACAGGAAAGCAAAGCAAACATGATCTTTTTGTATTCAGTACCGTCTGCAAGTCCTTACTCTGCAGCTACTTTGCTAATGTGTTTTGAATTAGGCTTTTAAAATAATGTCATATCTATATTAAACTGAGGTATATTAGAAGTTATCTGCCAAAGCTAATGCAGGCCTAATAGACCAGAGCTCACAGTGTGTGTGACGTTAATACGTGAAGACGTACGGTACGGTGGGAAAAACTGCCGACCCGACGCCTCTGACTTTTAAACGATTATTTCAGGCTTTACAGGGCGACTCGCAGCAGCGCACACTCAGCATATTTTAGCCTGTTTATATTCTCCTCACTCAGTAATGAAGCTTCAGTTTTAACAAAATCATACATAGTGCACTTTAACAATCAGAATCAGAATCTATATTCAACAATTACACACGTTTTGAGGTAAGTGTGATGATTCAGGCATGCAATTAGCACTGCTAGCTCCAATGCTAAAACGAAAGGAAATTTTTATTTAATAGAAAGTACATGACGATTTTAACCTACCATCAAAAGACTCTTTTCACACTTCCTTACTCGGCACAGTGGAAGTCACTGTAGAAGGGAAAACATAAATACTAATAATTTCTTGTATAACTATGTTTTATCACCTGTCTGTAAAGCACTTTGAGCTGCCACTGGCATGAAAAGTGCTATATAAATAAAAATTATTATTATTATTATTATTACAGCAGTGGTAGTGTTTATAGGTGAGAATGTAGACAAACTTCTCTTTGATAATGTATCTGTATTTGGCTACGGTACAGTAAATTCCCCACTGTCTCTACTGCGTGTGCTTTACTGCCTGAGTAGAGTTTGTAGTATTTTCCGTACAGCGTAAGCGTCCCAGTGGCCGTGGTTTTGGAAACTGCTTGCAGTCTAAAGTTTCTCCAGCAAGAAGCGCTATTAGCACGCAAGTCACTGCAAATCTTCAGCAGAAGGAGTTTACGTTTACAGTAACATCTACTAAAACGACAGGTGAAGCAGTTTTCAAAAGATGTTCGATTATTCAGTCTTATATTATTTAATATGTGACTTTTTTAAAAGTTTACATTACAAGAGTTAATGTTAAAAAAATTAAAAATAGAATAGAAAGTAAGTCAATTGGTTATTGGTTGTGGGGGGGGGGCGGTCATCTAATCACTAATCATGATTTTTTAACTAGAAAATATCATAATTATTTTTAGATCTCGCCCCGGCCTACTCGCACATCCAGCGCTGAAGCAGCATCAGCAGCTACTTTTAACGCAGACCACATCAAGCTTGCTCCTCTATTAAAAATAAAACAAATTATTAAAAAACCTCCATTAAATTTACGTTTTTCGTGAAAGAATTAGGTTATTTCCTTAATAAGAATGTAAAAATAAGTCCTATCTGATCCATGATAAAAGAGAAGTTTCTCTACTTTCTCATTTGTAAGCGCCGCTGCTGCAATGTTTACATATGACGACTTCCACTGCGTCAAACACAGAAGTGTGAAAAGGGCCTGTTAGTTATGAAACGTATTGGACATAAAGTCACAGTGCCTTGTGGGTCCTGCTCCTGAGACAATAACAGAAATACAGCAGAAATAAGCCCTGACTGACCGTAAGAACAGCCTCTGACTGAGATTGACTGAGTGATGAGTTTGTTTTGGTGTGTTTAGTTGGTTTAGAGTCACAGGTGGACCCTGACCGGTCACTTACTGACCTGCTTCTGCCGCAGACACCAGGTGCTCCAGGGCACTCAGCTCAGCTTGACGTCCCTCCTGCGTGTACGCTTTAATCGCATTATAACTGCAGAACAGAGACACACACACATGAACCATTCACTCAAATCGGCAGATGTGAAGATGGAAATATAATATAACTAACAAGCAATGGAAGCTTACGTTAGCCTTGGGCTAACCCTGCTGAAAGAAAACACCTTAGACCAGCATGACTTCAACACTGGTCTAAGCTACACTCCTAAAAAAAGACAGTTCTTCAATGGTTCTTTAGTTAAGAAAACGGTTCTATAATGAACCATGAACACTCAATGAACGCTTTGCATGATTAAAGGTTCTTTGCATCATGAAATGTTTCTTCAGATTGATGGAGAATGTGTTGTAGATGGCTTTACACAGAACTTTGCTGAAAAGGGTTCTATATAGCAAGTAAAAGGGTTCTTCTATTGTCACAAGCTTGACATCTTAACAATTGAAGAACGCTTTTGGGTGCTATATAGAACCCTTTTCAAAAAAGGTTCTATATAGAACCATCTATAGCACATTCTGAAGAAAGCTTTCATGATTGAGTGTTCATGGTTCTTTATAGAACCAATTTCTTTACTAAAGAACCCTAAAAGGACCATCTTTTTTGCAGTGTAGTCTAAACTGGTCTATGCTGGTATATGCTTGTTCTGCTGGTCACTCAGCATGGTCATGCCGGTTGTCCAACACAGTAGCATCCAAAACACAACATGTCGCTGCCGTCGGATCAAAACCTCGTATCTCCAAAATGGTGACTTTACAGGAGAAGGGAAAACATACTTTACTTGTAATGTAAGTGAATGGAACCAGAATTTTTTCAAAGTAATTTTGGTCCATTATTTATGAAATTTACACACAATGTAAGGGCGAAAGGCATTTAAAATGATGTCAAAAACTGAAAAATGACAAATATATACAAAAAAAAAAAAAAATATATATATATATATATATATAGTGCAGGTGTATCAAACTCAACAACTGAAAGGGCCAAATTAAAAATTCTCCACAGATCTGTGGGCCAACTGTGTTTTTCATTTAATTTTAATTCATATTTTACCATGAACTGGCCATCTTCATAATCAAAATATGCCAAAACTACAAAGGAAAAAAACAGGCACTGAATACTGGAACGATTAAAAATCATTTTAAATAAAAACAAATTGTTTTATATTAAACAATAGACTACATTAACTACAGATCACTGTTAAACCTCTTTAAATGTCCCCAGCGTACAGTAGTTTTTTTAACTGCCCACTCCTGGCATCTGATCTTTTTTTGCAGTGCTGTCCCATAGACTGTTGTTGGGGAAAGGGTGGGAGCACACATTACGTTGCAGTGCATGCTGGGGACTGTAGTGCAGCTCATGCTGAAATGGGTTAATATTAATAGAAAATCAAAATAACTTTGCGGCCGAATAGGATTGTGCCACGGGCCTGACTCGGCCCGCCGGACTTGAGTTTGACACATGGGTACTAGTCTGTGCTGGTTTTTCTAGCAGGGGTACTGCATGTCTAACGATGGGACAGATGGAAGTGTCCCCACGTCTCCAGGGCTGTGCAGCCCCTTAGCTCTTCATATACAATATTAGACCTCAGCATGAAAGGGTTCCACGGTCATGTTTAGGATCCTGGGGTCTCCAGAGGTCATACAAGGAACAAGGAGGTGGATATTTTTGGTGGGCTTCTGGGGCAGTTGTGGGCTGGAGGTTAGGGAACCAGCCTTGTGACCGGAAATTCGCCAGTACAATCCCCTAAGCTGACAGTATGTGACTGAAGTGCCGTTGAGCAAAGCACCTAACCCCCGCTGTGGACAGGGCTGCCCACCGCTCCAGGCAAGTGTGCTCACTGCCCCTCGCGTGTGTGTTTACTAGTGTGTATGTGGTGTTTCACTGCACGGATGGGTTAAATGTGGAGGTGAAAATTCCCCGTTGTGGGACTAATAGGGGTCACTTAATTAATTAATTAATAGGGACACTCTTGCCTTCAGTTAGTCTAGCCTTAGTAAGCTAATAAGCTAGCTTTGAAAGACGTTTGGAAGTAGGTTTTTTTATTATTCACACCTACAAAAAGCGCTGGAAAAACAGACCCCTGGGAACATAGGAATGACCCCTATTAGGCTTGTTTACTTGGTACACTATATCTGTTATCTATAAACATGAACTAAAGTACATTTGCATAGCTAAAAATAGTAGCAGCAAACTGAAGCCTGAATCATAATCTTTTTCAGTGAATGTTTCGCTATGTGGACGGTGAGTCAGAAGCGATTTAGCTGACAGAATACTTTCAATTATGTTTACTTTTTGCTACTTCGTAAAATTGTGTTTGTACAGACTGTATTTCTTAACCAATGTTTTTTAAGTGTGTGATTTAGGCATGCAGTGAGCACCACGCTAACTGTTTGCCACTGCTGGTCCACCTGCACACCACCCAGATTACTGTCCTGCATACAAGCTCTAACTAGTTTTTAATCTCCTCAAACAGATTTTAAATGCACAGAGACTTTTATTTTAAAAAATGCACTTAAATATTACAAACAACTGAGAGACAAAAAACTAGGCCTGATATAAAATGATTTTACAGAAAGTGTTGTTGCTGAAACTGAGCTAGATTAAAATTATTTACTAAACTAATTTATAAAGTGTAACTAAAGAAAAGAAGGAAGGAAAAGTAAGTAGTTGGTCTGTGAGGGAAAAATGAGCGATGATAAGTGGAATTTTGTCTAATACTCTGCTTAACAGCCGGCGGGCCGCCCGTAAAATGCTGAGCAAAACGCCAGCGGACCACCAGCTTTGCCATGAGTGGGCCGACAGTGGTCCACTATCCTCTTGCTATCAGGGTTTCTACTATTTGCTAGCTACGTTAGCCTTGCAGCTCCAGTGTGAAGTTAAGGACACAATCTTTAGACCCCAAACATGCCAAAGCCAACTGCTCAAAACTATTTATCTGAGCAATGACTGGGCTTTTGCTCAGATAAGCACCATGTAGCATTAAAATAATGAATATTTTTGCTGACATACATAAAATCACTACTAACTGTATTACAGTTTGTAGCATTTATGGTGATACTAGTCTTTTTTCTGAGCACATAAACATAAATAGGTGTCTAAAACTGTTGGACTGGGATATTTGCATTTGGAAAACACTGGAATTGCTATTGCTGGTTCAAGATGTCAGAATTGCAAATGTGCAACATGACAACATAGAGACGCACACGGCCTTCCCATAAAGCCTGGTCAGCCGTCTGAATCACAGCCCTCTATTTATACTTCACTTCACTGGTAAAAATATCTCAGCTATTTTCATGCAGAACATGCAATTCTATTTCTGTCAACAACTCTCTGTGCTGCATATATTTCATATCTGTGCTGCTAAATATATCTTTAACAGTGAGCACTGGCACTCTGGCCATCATGGCCTACACATAGTCAAAGAGAGAATCAGGGCTGGAAATATAGACAATTACTGTGATATTAGTTGTGAAATTGGCCGAGATCGCCCTCATTAGTTATAAAACCAATTGATTTATCAGGACTAGGTTAAACCAGTGTGTGAACTACCCCCTGGTATTCGGAGGCCCCAGATGTCTGGCTGCTAACTCACTCTCCATAGCAGCGCTGATGCTTTAATGGCAACAAAATGTTTGTTGATCAGTTGTTCTTCTGTAAAGCCTCTGTTCCAGAGTGGTTCTGCGCTCTTCCTCACACTAACTGAGATCTTACTCATCTCCTCTTCTGTCTTCATTTACACTTACACTTCACTTACATCAAACTCTTGGGAAACTGAAATGGGAAACTTCGGAATTCCCACTCGGTAAAGTCTTCTGGGTTTCTCAAACGCTAGAGGGCGCTCCCGAGCAATCCAGAATGAATGCGTTAATATGGAGCATTTGAGCAAAATCATAGTTTATAAATGATTCAACATTTTTAATATAAACAAATTCATTCATTTCCTGAACGCAGAACTGCATAAAACATTTTGTACGTTCACGACGTCAGTGAGCACAAACAGCCAATGAACTGCTCCGCTCGCCAACCAATCAGCACTCAGTAGCAGTAATGCCCGCCTTCTGCTGCCTAAAACCCGTTTTTTTGTAGTAAAAAGGAAACATACAGGTGAGATTTCTTTGCTTTTTTAGTGAAATCCATCCTTCTACTTTCTAAAACTAAAGGAAAGTTCTGGTTCAGTGATTAGAAACTATTTTAACTTTTTGTTTTTAGCTGTTGAGCTCCATTCACTCCCATTCACTGAGGACTCACTCGTGGGCGCCCTCTGCTGTTTTGCAGTGATGTTCTTGATATAATGGGCGAAATAGGAAGTGACCAGACTCCTCATAAACCGGCTCTGGCAGCACATCGTAAAGTTTTTCAGAGGAATCCGGGCAGAGTTACAGTTTCTAGGCTATGAAGGACCAACTGGGTGAGCCAGTCTGCCACAGCGCCACCCTGAGGCAGAGCAGTGCTAAAGTTCACCAAAAGACAGAAGCTGATTGTGAGCGAAGCAGATAAACAATGAGCCTCACTGAACCCGGATTTGAGGGTCTGTTTTTCTCTAACAGACAGCATAACGTCATAATAAGTTTAGTTTCAGGGACCCCCAGAATTTTGATTTTGAGACTTACAGGGGGTCCAAGAGGTTAATTAGGGGGTCCTGGAACCTGACCTGTTGTATTTTGCACTTTGGGTTAAGCTTACTGTTTAAATTCAGTAATTCAGTCTGCTTACAGACTCTACACTCTTACAAAAAGGGTTCTACAGGTACCAAAAAGGTTCTGTGACTGTAACAACAGCGGAACCTCTTTTGACACTAAACAGAACCATTTTGAAGGTTCTTTAAAGAATAGCACACAACAGGTTTTCCATCATAAAGAAGAAGCATTTACCCATGCAAAGAGCCTTTAAAAAATGGTTCTATAAAAATAAAGAGGCCAGAAAGGGTTCTTTACGTGACGCCACAGAACAGCCATTTTTTTATCCTGAAAACATTTCAGTGGATGGTTCTGTAGAGAGAACCATTTCTGTAATTGATATGTGTGAGTGTAAGGAACCCTTTTTAAAGTTTAAAGAACCTCCACATCATGTAAAAGTTTTAGCAAGGACCTTAAATCGGTAAAGAACATTTACATTAAGGTTCTTTATAGCTCTCAAAGGTCACCCACACATCTCATTTACAAACATGGTTCTTTTGTATGGTATCACTCAAAGAACCCTTTGTGGCACCACCACCTTTGTGTTCTTAAAAATAAAAGCACCAAAAAGGGTTCTTTGAAATGATGTTTCAGAGTGTTTTTTGAATGAGGCACAGCCAATCAGAGCAGAGCTCGTTTACATATATCAGCCTTAAAGGCACAGTAACACAAAAACAGCCTGATTAATTCTAAGGGAGACAGATTTTGGAAAATGGTCATGTAAAAATGAATTATGACCATTTTTGGAACATAAAACACAAATATTGAAAGTGAACCTCAACAGAAAAAAGTAAAGCACAATAAAAATGTAGGACACAGGTCCTTTAAACAATTTTCACAGATGGCTTTTGCACAGAACTGTATACGCTCTTTTGCAAAGCATAAGAAAGGTTTACACTGCATTCGAATAAAAAATGCAAATATAAGCCTTTACAGACTGTAAATCTGACTGTTTATATGACTCTTCTGTGCTCAGCCTGGAGATTAACGCTCTGCAGCTCCTCTCCTCGGTGTGGCAGAGTTTAGTCTGTGTCCAGGCTTGTTTTGAAATTCTTGTGGCTTTAAATTTCGAAATCAAAAACATTCTGACACACAACTTTTAGGGAAGTGTCCAGAAAGCGGCAGATTTGGTGTCCCCGCCCCTTTTCGATGGCCTCGGCTACTTACAACAGGAAGTAAAGCCCCCAGGAGGCTCCGGCACCCCAGATGTTGGGGGTCACTCCCTGGTAGAGACCCCTGATCCCCTCCACCTGCCAGATACTCTTCATACAGTGCAGCATGCCTTCATACTGCGGCCTGACCTTCAGCCCATCACTGACTGCAGAGAGAGCGAGAGAGAGAGAGAGAGAGAGAGGGAGAGAGAGGGAGAGAGACAGAGAGAGAGAGACAGAGAGAGAGAGAGGGAGAGAGAGAGACTGTATTCAATCTGAACACCCTTAATCAAATTACAGATGATTTTCTAAGCATAAATAAGTGAACACGATCTCTACAGAGACACACTTCACAATTAATGCACAATTACTGTTTATTTGCTGAACTTAACATATTGAAAATAAACAAAACAAAAAATATAGAATGTGCCATAACTTCTGCATAATTTTATGTGTTTCCGAAGTGTTAAATTCAGTAAATAAACAGTAATTGTACATTAAAATGTGCAGATGTTTGTCTCTGTAGGGGGATGAGTTCACTTATCCTCAACAACAACATGGAATTGAACCAGGGGTGCACAAATGTTGCTTAAAACTGTATATCTGTATTGGTATTTGTGTGTGAATGCACAGATATTATTAGTAAAGACACAGAACACACAAAAAGTATTGTTGCTATGTATATTACCATTCAAAAGCTTGGAATTACATATTAAGTGACAAAGCCAACCTACTGTTCTTTGTTTTATTATTCTACATTTTTTGGTATCATTTTTTAGGGGTCAAAGTTGCCAAGCTGGAACCAAGAAACACTGCACACATACACACACATACACACACACACACACACACACACACACACACACACACACACACACATATGTATACACACACACACACACACACACTTTCTTTTATACACACACACACACACACTTTTACACACACACATTTATATATACATATCGCTGTTGTCGGATCAAAACTTCGTATCTCCAAAATAGTAACTTTACAGCAGAAAGAAAAAACAGATGTAACTTTTAATGTAAGTCAATGGAACCAGACGTTTTTCCAAGTCATTTTGGACCATTTCCTTTAGTCTGTTCATCATAATATTTATACACAATGTAAAGCACAACAGGCACTTCCAAATTACGTCAAAAACTGAAAAATGACAAAAAAAATGGAGATACGAGGTTTTGACCACCTGGAATACCTTAGAAATGGCCTGACAACATTATATTCAGTACTGTGTCTGTGTTGTGTGTGCATGTGATGTGATTGTATCTAGAACATTCTATTCTGCCTATTTCTGTCTGGCCCTGTTATGTCTGTCACACCTGTCACTTGTCATGTATAGGCTGGGCCTAATCTTGGCATCAGTCCAGCCTGTATAATTGTGACCATCCACTGTGTGGCTACATGCCAGGTACCTGCGCTCGAGAAACAAACAAACAAAAACAACTCCCCAGACAGAAGGCTGCTCGCTGGGTTGGCGGGTTTGGATTCTTCAAGCATAACATAGTTATGGCCTATCAGCACCTTAGCAACCACCTGGAACACCATAGCAATGGCCAAGAAACATCTTTAGCAACCACCTGGGATATCAAAGCAACGGCCTAGAAACCTCTTTAGTAACTACCTGGGATATCATAGCAACGGCCTAGAAACCTCTTTAGCAGCTACCTGGGATATCATAGCAACGGCCTAGAAACCTCTTTAGCAACTACCTGGGATATCATCGCAACAGTTTTATCAAGCCAACTTAAAGTTCGTTCACAAACTTCCACTACTAATAACTGTTAATATCTGTTATTCAATTCTAACTTAAAATACAGTCTAGACTGAGATGTTGTCACCACTTATTGACCATTAGAAGTCAGAAAAAAGCATGTTATAGTTATGATGGAGCTCTACAGCTCGAATTCACAATGCTAAGGCTCCAACAATCCAAATACGGGAAAATCTGGCTAGTAACATTGGTGAACTACTTAATGCATAAATGAGTAAAGGGTTTGAAAATGGTAAATTAGGATATAGAGCACTCACACTGTAATGCACACAAAGACAGGACGGCAGATTATTCTCTGTTTTCACTCTGTTAACTCCAGCAATAATTTTCTTGTGTTTGTTTTTTTTTTAAATGTGTCAGTAAAGGTACTCATGCATACAAGTGCATGTATCTGTGTAAATGGACGCATATATTACGCTAATGTAGATTTATACTGTAGATTTATGGTGTTTATCTTTTGTTTCTGTGTTAATTGTGATGTGTCGGTTTTCCAACCGGGGGTGGGTGGATGGGACGTTGGGGGTGGAGAGAGTTCAGGGGGGAAAGCGTTTATTTGTATCTGTGTTGTCATTGTACATTTTGTTTCTGTTTAGTTTTAAAATTAAAAATTGTTCACAAAAAAAAAGAAAAAAAGCATTTTTTATTAAATAATACCCCGTAATTATCCATTTATCGTAACTTCTTGTCAAATAGTTACTGTGAATAACTATTTATTCAGCGAGATTCAATCATTTTTTGAATTTGAGGCATTCTGGATATTCATTTTATTATAAGCTCATTCTCGATCTGTTCAGCTTTCTCAGAAGAGATGTATTTTTTGACATCATGCAAGATTATTTTTGTGGGGCTGCACGATGGTTGTTGAAAAAGTACAAAGCTTTTATTATTGATAATATTTTCCACTAAATCATACTGCACTGTTATTACAAGCCAAAACAGTGTAAGTGACACCGAGCTGTGACCAAAAGAGTCTTAGTACGTGGTGCACTTAGTGAAGCATTACCTTTAATTTGTTTCAACATTACATGATTATTATGTATTAACACTACAAAGTGTCCTCACATCATTCCTAATAATAATTTAGTTTGTTTTTATGTTTTAATATTGACATATAAAGCAGGAGACATTATGAGAATATGTTAACAGTGCATAATTAATTTATCTAGTTTTATTTGTGAAATCTGCAAAACGTATTTTATTGGTGATTCTTGCAAATAATAACACTGGTAATGATAATAGTAGTTGTAGTAGACATAGTAATAATAGTAATAATAATAATAGATAAAAACAAAGTGACCAGATTCAGGTAAAGCAGCATTTTTGAAGACAAAAAAGGGGAAAAAAATAATTAAGATATATTAAACTACATGAGGAGCCACATATGATGTGATTACACATTCAGATCAGTCTGAAGTCTCTAATTTTATACAGGTATCTCTAAAAGAAGTAGTCTAATACTATTTAAAACACTGATTCCATACTTTAAGATGGGCATATATGTTAACAAACACCTGTTATACATATATATATATACACATATATATATATATACATATACATATACATATATATATACATACTGAGTGGATCAGATACAGCAGTGCTGCTGGAGGTTTTTAAACACCTCAGTGTCACTGCTGGACTAAGAATAGTCCACCAACCAAAAATATCCAGCCAACAGCGTCCTGTGGGCAGCGTCCTGTGACCACTGATGAAGGACTAGAGGATGACCAACACAAACTGTGCAGCAGCAGATGAGCTATCAGCTACAGTGCTGAGAATGATCCACCACCCAAATAGTACCTGCTCTGTGAGGGTCCATGGGGGTCCTGACCACTGAAGAACAGGGTAAAAGGGGGCTAACAAAGTATCAGAGAAACAGATGGACTACAGTCTGTAAGTGTAGAACTACAAAGTGCACCTATATAGTAAGTGGAGCTGATAAAATGGACAATGAGCGTAGAAACAAGGATCGGTGCATATATATATTTATATATATAATAGTTATAGTATATACTAATACTTATACTAGTAATTGCTTTGACAACGCTGCATGTACAGCAGTCATGCCAAATAAACTGAAGCGAACTGAAGGAGCACCAGTAAGTCTTGTGTGATGTATTGAATGTATTTGATTTCAATATGTACATAATTTCCACATGAATGAAACATATTACACAAACACGTCTCTGTCCTTTCGCTCACTTACGTTTGGCAATAATCGTGTTGATGCAATTTGTCTTATTAATGTGGAATTAATGTATACAAATCTGAAAGTAAACTCAGCGCAGCTCCTTTATCAGCAGGGCAGGACGGCCTGCCAACTTGTACTGGTGACACGCCTAAAAAACAGTTCTAAACAAGCCTTATGTTGTACTTACGCTTTAATAACAAACGGGCACTAGACTCTAATCGTAAATAACACCAAACTTGGCAGTGCAGGCTGACTCAGGTATGAGCGCTGCGGAGAGCCAAGAGAAATGCTGCACGTTCCACAACTACAGGTCTAAAATACGGCCCAAGGCTTTGGTCCAAGATTCTAAGGCAAGAGTACAGTATAAGAATATGGCCTGAGACTATGGGCCAGGCCTAATGCCCACAACTACGATCCAAGGCTAAGACTGAAGACTACGGACCACATGTACGATCAAATTCTATGACTCAACAAAGACTATGACAACTATGACTAAGACTGTGGTCCAAGGTTCTAGAGTGAGACTATGTTCTAAAACTACAGCCTGACAATATGGTTTACGTATGACTCACAGCTGAGATACAAGACAATAATATAAGTTTATCTAAACCTATGTTATAAGACTAAATCCCAAGCCTGTGATCTAAGAATGCGGTCTAAGACTTTGGTCCAAGCCTAATTTCTAAGAGTTCTAGAGCGAGACTATGTTCTAAAACTACAGTCTGACGTTATGTTTTACTATGCTTCAAGGCTGAGATTTAGGACAATAATATAAGCTTATCTAAATCTATGTTATAAAACTAAATCCCAAACCCGTGATCTAAGACTTTGGTCCAAGCCTAGTGTCTAAGACTATAATCCAAGCCCAATGTCCACAGCTACAGTCTAATCCAACTGTCTGAGAATATGGTCCAAGATTCTGGACCAAGACTACAGTCCAACAATATGGTCCAAGATTATGATCCAAGGCTCTGGACCAAGACTATAATCTAGCAATATAATCCAAGATGACAGTCTAAGACTATGGTCCAAGGCCAATGTCCAAATCCACAGCTATAATCCAAGGCTAGGATTTAACCCTCTATTGCATGGTGTTGCCACATGGCAACAATTACTTTATCTCAATTTTACTAAAAAATCAGTAATCATAATTCTTGTTATGATGTTGTTTCCAATATTTGTGAATTTTGAAATACAAACTGGATTTGTTGAGTTTTGTTTTCAATAAAAGGAAGAAAAATTCGATTTCATGGTACTTTTTATTTAGATTTTATGGTGCTAAGGTACGATTGAGTATTGTTGCCATATGGCAACAATTTACCAAATATGCCACTTTAAAAAAATATATATAATTTTTAAAAAATATTTCCATTATTTCAGCAATTTTAAATAACAAAAACACAATAAAACATTTTTATCATGTTTAACTAATAATTCATGCCATAGAGTGTTAAGACAATGATGCAAGCTCAATATCCACACCTATGGTCTAAGCCTAGGGTCCAAGCTAGATCCAAGAGCATAATCTAAGATTCTGATCCAAGCTTAATACCCCATTCTAAGCCTATAGTCAAATTTATCTTCCAGAAGTATAGCCCAAGTCTACGGTCCAAGACTAATGTCCAAGCTTATGGTCCAAGTCCACAACTATCATCCAAAGCTAAGATTCCAGACAATGATACAAGCCTAATGCCCAGATCTGTGGTCTATATCTATGGTCCAAGCCTAATGTCTAGACCTATGGTCTAAGTCTAAGTTAGCGCTGGGAAATATGACAATATATATCATTATTGTGATAAATTATGTCACAATACAACATGAGAGAAAAAACTGGCCCAGTTTAACTGGATTTAGTGCCAAATGCTGAATCAAAATAATCGTGTTCACAGTTTTTGATAGTATTTCTTAAAAAGTAGCTCTACTGGCTCTTTTGTCTCTAATCCAACTGATCAGATGTCTGAACAAATAGATATTGCGACATATCAAGTATTGTGAAAATTTCTTGAAGTATCACAATTTTATATTTCTGCCATACCGCCCACCTCTACTGTAAGCATGAGGTCTAAGCCTAATGTTTAAGCTATGATTTAAGAGTTTGATCTAAGATTTTCATCCAAGACTAATGTCCAAGTCCAACACTATCATTCACACCTATAGTCTAAGTCTATGGTCCCATCCTAGTGTTCAAAACTATGGTCTATGACTATAGCTCAAGCCTAGGATTCAAATCTATGGTCCAAGCCTAAGGTTCAGTACTATGGGCCAAGTTTAATGTTCAGGACTATGGCCTATGACTATGGTCCAAGCCTAATGTTCAGAACTATGATCCAAATCTATGGTCCAAGCCTAATGTTCAGTACTATGGCCCAAGTCTAATGTTCAGGACTATGGCCTATGACTATGGTCCAAGCCTAATGTTCAGAACTATGATCCAAATCATTGGTCCAAGCCTAATGTTCAGTACTATGGTCTTTGACTATGGTCCAAGCCTAATGTTCAGGACTATGGCCTATGACTATGGTCCAAGCCTAATGTTCAGAACTATGATCCAAATCTATGGTCCACGTCTAATGTTCAGGAATATGATCCAAATCTATGGTCCAAGTCTAATGTTCAGGAATATGGCCTATGACTATGGTCCAAGCCTAATGTTCAGGACTATGTCTACACCTACGGTTCAAAACAATGTTCTGAAGCTATAATCCAAAACCATGGTGAAGGCCTAATGTCCACAGCTATCATCCAAGGCTGAGACTGAAGACATTATGTGTGCAGTGCCAGAAACCGTGATCCAGCGCTCTGGACCGAGCCTAAGCGTGTCCGTGTTAATATGACTCCCTTTGTGGACGTCTTTTCTCGCAGCTGTAAACACATAAGTAGGTCAGTGCTGCTGCCAGCGCCTCCCGAGCTTACCTGCAAAGCGGATCTTGACCAGATCGAGAGGGTGAAGCACCATGGTGGCTATGACGCCCCCGCTCAGCCCAGCGGCCAGGTTCTCGTACCTGATGTGCTTCAGGAGGCTCGCTGGAGCGGGGAAAGGCGCGCTGCTGGAGTCGGGAGGAGGGACGGGCAGCGCTGCTGCTGCTGCTGCCCCGTGGTGTCGCGGTCTGGAAACAGCACTCATGGTTGTTTACTCGCTGGTCTCTGTCCGTGCCAGAGGAAGATACTATAAAGATGTCATTTATGAGCGGCTGTGAGCGGCGATCATGTAACCATCCGCCTCGTAAAACCGCCACGCAGAGCTGGGGCTTCCCCGCATTACCTCCGCCGCATGGAGAACCACTTAGGCTGTGCTGAAGAACAAGAAGAAGAAGAAGGACGAAGAGCATTTGTTTTCCCACCCGTATTCAGGAAAGTCCCGCCCCCTGCGCTGGGATTGGCTAGTAGTTTTGTTTTTTCCAAGTCATCACATTTTTTAATAGATAGTTATTCATAACAATTACAACACACATCACTACTACACTCTTAAACAAGGGTTCTTTAGTCTACTTAGAACCATGAGTTCTATATAGAACCTTTTGAATGCTTAAATGGTTCTTTGTGTGGTGAAATGGTTCTTCAGATTGATGGAGAATGTGTTGTATATGGTTCTATATAGAACCTTTTTGAAAATGGTTCTACATAGCACCAAAAAGGGTTCTCCTCTTGTTACAGGCTTGACATCATAACCGTTTTTGGTGCTACAAAGAACCATACCTAACACATTCTCCATCAGTCTGAAGAACCCTATCACCATGCAAAGAACTGTTTCGGGTTCTATGGAGAATGTGTTGTGTATAGTTCAATGTAGAACCTTTTTGAAAATGGTTCTACGTAGCACCAAAAAGGGTTCTTCTATTGTGTACAAGCTTAACATCATAGCAATAACAGAACGCTTTCTGGTGCTACATAGAACCATATGCAACACATTCTCCATCAGTCTGACGAAGCAGTTCACCTCACTAAGAACCCATTTAAGGTTCTATATAGAACCCATAGTTCTAAGTAGACTAAAGAACCCTTGAAGAACCATCTTTTTAAGAGGGTACACTAAACGGCTAAATTAACAGCAGCAAAATAGTCTAAAATGACACAAAGTGAAATGAAATAAATAAATAAATAAATAAATAAATAAAAATATTAAAAATAAATCAGATCATAATGATAAACAGACATTTAGGGATTCAAAATATGTTCCAAATATTTGAGTGAATGTATTGTTTTTCTTATTAAGAGATTAATTTCTATTTTAAACACAAACTGGTTTGGAATCGAATTAGAAAATTTGTTTTAATGCATAAAATTAGTTGCATATAAAATAAAATATGATCTGTGTAGGATATCCTTCATAATAAAGCTGTGAAAATCTCTGATTTACAGGAGAAAAGCAGAAATAAACTCACTGTCCTCCTTACAGAACGTACACAGATCAAATCCCATATGGAATAAAAATACAGAGACATGTATTTTTATATATTTCACTTACAGCATCTAACAGGCGCTCTTACCCAGGTACTGCAGGTCTGGCTGGTGGTTCAACCTCAATAAGCAGCCTGGGAGCACGAAGGAGCAGCCAATCCCAGCGCAGCATCTGGGCCGCCCGAGCCAATCCCAGCGCAGGAGGGCGCGGCTTACACGAATGCGGGTGGGAAAAGAAAGGAAGGTGACGTCGAAGGAGGCGCGGCAGCATTAAAGCGACAGAAACTATTTTCCGCAAAAACATCAACACGAGCCAGAGCCGCAGAGACCCGGATGAAGGCCGAAGGGACGTGTGTTGTGAAGAGTTCATTGTTTCCCTGTTCGCTCATATTTGTCCACATTTGAACACTGAATAAGTGTGAAACAACCAAGACAGAGAAATGTTGACCAAAAGGCCACAGTAGTGGGATGATAGTGTCATACTAAACATATGAAATCAAAATTCAAATGTAAACAAGAATGCTTAAAGGGGAACTCCACTGATTTTTCCAAAATTCCTGCATAATTAGTCAGAACTGTTCACAGTGGTGGTGATAGGAACCAGACGTCCACCTCTAAAAGCTCCCTCACAGAAAGTTCCTACATGAAATGGTTATGAATTCACTGCCTGATGACTGAGACACTGTTTTATGCTAAAGTTTTGGCTTAAAATGTATTCCATTCATTTATTCTCATCCCCTCACAAGGGAGGGATACGTTTAGGTTGTTGTGAGGCAAAATAGTCCCTAATAAAAACTCCAGATTTATGACTATTTAACAACACACATGAATGCAGGCTTACAATTTGGCAAGCAGAAGGTCACTGTTGCCCTGTTTATTAATGCCTCTCACTTGCAATCTATTAATTAACAATAATAGACTAATTGTAAAACGTTTATAAATGTTTATATGGCTATGTTAAAAAAAAAGAAACGTCTCTGTTGTTGGTTTTAATCAGTTTTCTCTCATTGATTTTTCTTAACAAATGCATGTGAGTCACTGAAACTTGTGTTGCTTCAATGAAGTTGAGTCAGTTGTCAGATCTGCTTCATGTTTGTTTGGTCAGTGCAACCTTGGTGATATTTTTGAGTGTAGTCTTATTGTAAAGTGGCACACCGATAAACACATTGCAGCGTCACGCTGCTGGCTGGCGCCGACACCGAGAGACTCTGGAGGTGTGGCTTGGCAGAGGGCCACAGGTCAAGGCTCACGCTATGCATGCGCCCTCTGACAAAGGGACTCACTGTGTTGTTTTATGTTGATGTCTGTTAGTTATAGTTATGTGTAAATGTTTTATGGGCTGTTATGTGTCGGGGAGTGGGCTAATGTGTGGGTGTGTGTAGGTGTTGTGGGTGTGGGTGTCACCGTCAGGGTAAAGCCAGTGGTGAGAGGTGACCTCCCCCATAAGTTCAGTGTCCTATATGTGTCCGCTTTGCTGTATGTTCAATAACAAGCGCTTGTTTGCAGCAGATTAAGGCCTCTCCTGTGTTTCTCCTCCACCTTTTTAAGTGTTTGATCCACTTAAAAAAGTAAAAATACCTTTTTGCATCAGATCAAGTACATATCTAAAAAAAAGACGGTTCTTCAAGGGTTCTTTAGTAAAGAAAACGTACTTATATATAGACCCATGAGCACTCAAAGAACCTTTCACATGAGAAATGGTTTATTGCATGGTGAGATGGTTCTTCAGATTGATGGAGAATGTGCTGTGTAGGGTTCTATATAGCACCAAAATGCATTCTTCTATTGTAACAAACCTGACATGATAACAATAGAAGAACCCTTTTTGGTGCTATACAGGACCCTTTTCAAAAAGGTTCTACATAGAACCATCTACAACACATTCACAATCAATCTGTAGAGCCATTTCTCCATGCGAAGAATCCTTTAATCATGCAAAAGGTTCTTTGAGTGTTCATGGTTCTATATAGACGCGTTTTCTTTACTAAAGAACCCTTGAAGAACCATCTTTTTTAAATGTGTAAGACTGGCTTTTTATAAATTACACTCTTTAAAACTATGGTGCGTCAAGGCTTCTATAGTAAAGAAAATGATTCTATCTAGAACCATGAACACTCAAAGAACCCTGCATGATTAAAGGGTTCTTTGCTTGGTGAAATGGTTCTTCAGATTGATGGAGAATATTCTGTGTATGGTTCTATATAGAACCTTTTTGAAAATGACCCTATTTAGCACCAAAAAGCGTTCCTCTATTGTTACGATGTCAAGCTGGTACTTTCTGGGTCCTATATAGAACCCTTTTCAAAAAGACTTTAGAAAGAACCATTTATAGCACATTCATGCACATTTTCCTTCAATCACAGGAACCCTTTCAGGATGCAAAGAACCCTTTAATCATGTAATGGGTTCTTTGAGTGTTCATGGTTCTATATAGAACCATTTTCTTTACTAAAGAACCATTGAAGAACTATTTTTAAGTGTGTAAGACTAAACTTCTTCATTTTTTGTACATACAAAATAAATTCTGTGACTTAATTTTGCAAGTAAGTTTATTTAAGCTTATTTTTATGTATTACTTAAAACGAATTGTTGGTTCCGCACAGCTGGGTTCAGTAGATGTTCTACTGAGTAACATGTACCTAAAGAATTTATGTGAATCACAGCAGAAAAAGAAGACAAAGTTTACAGGTTTAACTCATCCGTACATAATTTCATGAAGTTGTTACTGCAATTCTGAGCTCTCACCGCATTACACTCAGCGGTCAGTAACTTCCACTTGCAGCCAACAGAATGGCCAGGCAGTAAACCGCGGAGTAAAAGAAAACATACACAGAGATGGAAAGATAGGCCGGGGGAAAGTAAACACGAACAGTGTGGGTAAGACATGTAAAAGAATGTGCAAATAGATGTTGCAATGGGAAAGAAGTTGAGCGTTACTCTCGAGATTGCACTGACCAAATAAACACTTCTGAGCACTCACTTAATTTCACTGAAAGAGCACAGCTACGTTTCTCTGACTTGCATGCATTTGTTAAGCAAAATCAATGAGAGAAAACTGATTAAAACCAACAACAGACCTATTCCCTTTTATAAGAGTACCATGCAGTGATACGGCACGTGACCCAGCCACTAACCCCAACATCCTCCTTGCACAGAGCACTTCCTCTTTTCTGTTTTTGCAGCGTTGCAGACTGACAGCTTGCATTCTTCTCATTCAGCCTGGTGACTCCAGGGTCCTACACTCTCCTCTCCAGGCTGTGAAAGTCCTAACTCACCTGCTGTGATTAATCTATGGGACTAATTTAACCCTTTAACATTCCAGGTTTGTTACACACTAAGGTTTGCTATTCAGTAACTACACGGACTTCAATGCCAACCAATAGAGCTTTTCTTAGATTATTGAAGTGTGTAACAAAACCGGCTTAGTATAGGTTAAAGGTCATTTCCACAAATCTTTCAAAATTTCTACACAATTAATTGGTTAAGATGTAAACAGAGCCGTTCAGAGTGGTTTGGTGTTGAAACACTCTGTTCTAGAGAAACTTACCGAGTCAGAACTGTTCACAGTGGTGGTGATAGGAACCAGACGTCCACCTCTAAAAGCTCCCTCACAGAAAGTTACTACATGAAATGGTTATGAATTCACTGCCTGATGACTGAGACACTGTTTTATGATAGTTTAGAGAAGATATTGGCCTTAAACTCCATTCATGGTGGAGGGATACATGCTGAGGCAAAATAGTCCCCAAAGAAAATTTCAGATTTTCCACTATTTTTCCATCATCAACATTCCATATAAACTCAGAAGACTCGTGTCGGTGCACTGGTGGTTTTGGATAGTAAATAAAATGTCTATATTTGTGTTGTAGTCATGGCGACCCCTGGTTCCTATCACCACCACTGTAAAGAAAGAAATAATGCAGGAATTTTGAAAACATGGTGGAATTC